ATCGAGTCTGTATCAACACCGTCGCCGAGGTACTAGGCGGTCGGGCGCACAAGCAGGGCAGCGTCAACGCCGTTGTCGCCCGAGAGTTGCCCGAGCAAGGCGGCCATCGATGCCGCCCCGAAGGCTGACGGCCGCCAGCTCTCAATCTCGTCGGTCATGGCGCTCGTTGCTGGTCGCAGCTCGAGGTCCAGCGCACGCTGGAGACTCGTGTCCTGGAAGAGACTTGCGCTGCGGCTGGCGACGCGGGCTTTGGGCTGGGCGGTTTGAAACATGGCGGCGCCCAGCTGCTTGCTCTTGACGCGGTACGCCGCCTTTTTCGCTACGAGCGTCCGCAGCTCTTGTGCCAAAGCGGCGTCGCTGGGACTGAGCGCGATCGCAGCGTCGAGCTCGCGCTGCGCGTCGTCAAAGTGGTCTTGCATGCGGTAGACGACCGCGCAAATGTACTTGGCCTTGACGTTGGCGTCGTCGAGCTTGAGCGCCAGCGTCGCGTGGTGCAGCGCTTGGTCCAAATGGCGCGTCTTGAGGCGGCAGAGTGCAAAGTTGAGCAAAATACGCTTCTTGAGCGCATCCATCTAAGGTCCGCGAGTTGCGTTTCCCTGCAGCAAGATATTGGGCGGACTACCTCAGCTTGCTCGGCGTCCGTGTCGCTAAACATGTACTCAAAGTAGATGAGCGCGCGGTGGTAGTGGTAGGCAGCGCGCTGGTACTGCGCGTGCGCAAAGAAGCGGTTGCCGAGGCGACGAAAGTGGTCGCATTTCTCCATTTTCGCGGCCGTTGTCATGTCCATGAGCTTTTGCTCCGCGGAATGATCGTGGTTGCAGGACTGCCGCATGGCGGCGTGCTCGGCCTTCTCACGCGCAGCCTGCTCTTTCGCTGCGAGGTCCTCGGGGTCCTCGTACGCTTCCCACTTCTCGTACGGACGCGTCCAGTCGTAGCCCGCGGACGCCGCCTGCTTGGCCTGCACCTCGTTGTAGCGGTCCTGGACCTTCTTGTTGTACTCCATCGTTGCTGCCAGCTCTTCGCTCGACACGTGCACGTCCCGCTCCTTCTCCTTGGACATCTGCGCCAGCATCGCCGCCATCTCAGGCGACAGGCCGCAGGCCATGGCAATTCGGATGTGGCATCCGGAAAGATCGAAGTGTCGCGAAAGGGCATCGCAGTAGCACATTGAAGTGTCGTCGACGACACACACATTGCATACTTCTAGATTGTCATCACCTCTGTAGACTTGACTGAGATATAGACTAAGATCAGGTATTAATACTAGTAAGCTTAGTAGACTGGACTCAGATCTACTAGTGCAATTGCAGACTGGCCCAAGAGCGTTTGTCGACTTGCGATTAGTGGGTTTGTCGACTTGCGATGAGTGGACTAAAGATCGAATTTAATTTCTGTCCTGTGGTGTATACCGATAGCGATAACGAAATGTGTCAGAAACAAGCAATTGTACTATGTAGTACACTTAAGGGCGACCACGAAGGGCCTGGAGGCGCGTGGTCCAAAAGCGCTTGCCGCCCAGGAGCCATAGCAGCGCGATAACCGCGAATGCAGTTGGGTCGCGAAAGAAGCGCTGCCACCACGGCGTTGTCGGCCACGCTTTGCGCAGTTTGCCCGTCGGTTGACGCTTCTCGGCGGCGAGGTTGGCCTTCAGAAACTGGGCGACCGAGTACCCCATCGCAAACGTCGTCATCATGGGACTACCATAGAAGTGATGAGTGCATTTGACGCCAGACGACGCAGAGAACGCACTTGACACCGGACGCTGTCGGGAAGAGCGACGCATCCGCGACGTAGAGACCCTTGATGTCCCACGTCTCGCCATCGGGGTTGACGGCGCCGTCGTCCGGCGACGCGCTCATGCGGCACGACCCCATCTGGTGCGCGTTGAAGAGACCGATGCGGTTCTGGACCACGCCTTTGGCACGGATCTGCGCAAACCAGTTCTGGGTCGTCGCACACTCGATCGGGTTGGCCAAGTCCTCTTTGGCGCGGAGTTGAAGCGGCGGTAAGTCGAAATGCGTCGTGTTGACTTCGACAGCACCTTGGGCCAGCAAGATCTTGGCGCCGGCGATCAAGCCTTCTTGCACCGAGAGCGCGTCTTTGCTGCCGAGCGAGACACTGAGGCGCGGACGCCCTACATACGGCGGCGTGACGAAGAGCTCTGCGCGCGCTGCCTACCGTCGGCGTCAATGGTGACGCGGCTCGTCGTGTCGCAGTCGCGGACGAGCGCGATGAAGGATGCGGTGCGGGGGTACTGCATCACGAGGCGTTTGTGGTCGGCGTTGCTGCGCCAGGGCTGGATCGTCGAGAGCATGCCAAGAATACTGGACGGCACTTCGAGGCGCACGCCGTAGCTAGAGACATCCGTTGCTTCTCAAGTCGCTATCGATCAAAAGGTGTACCCATCTCCGTGGAGGTCGGCGAGGTGCGTGCACACAGATGTCATGATCGCACCGGTCCAAGGCTGGAGGAGTTTGGACGGGATATACCCGTGGACAGACGACACGGGGTGGATGCGCAGGTGCTTGCCAATGTTCTTGTTGGCCAAGCCCGACCGCAACAGCAGCGCTGGCGTGTGGAGGCTCCCACCGGCGGCGACGACGGTCGCTGCCTTCACAATGAGCTTCACCGACCCGTTCAAGACGGTTGCTTCGACGCCGGTCGCGATCTTGTCACTCGAGTACGTGACGCGATCGACGTGGCAGCCTTGAATAAACTTGGCACCAGCATCTTGCGCGTCCTTGAGCCACGTCACGGCCGAGCTCTGCTTCTCGCTCGACGGACACCCGAGGTTGCAAAAGCCACAGTCGTGTGCGGCCCCGTTGGTGTTCTGTGCGATCTTGGCCACGCCCATGCCGAGCGTAGTCGCGCCGTCTTCGAGGACCTGGTTGGCGCCGCTGTGGCAAAAATGGGCGTCCGAGACGCCGGCGCGGGCCCACACGGCGTTGATCGCGGCTTCGTACGCCGGCGACGTAAAGTACGGCAAGTGGTGCTGGGTTGCCCACTCTTGTCGGACATTGTACGGTAGCCGGAACGACGCCGACCTACCATTGACGAGCTGTGGAATATGCTCATTGTAAAAGCCAAGCAAACCAGTTGATCGCGGTGCCGCCACCCCAAGTCGAGCCTGCGAGGAAGAGCACTGAGCCGTCATCGGGAATGACGATGCAGCCATTGTCGAACTTTTGACGGAGCGACGCGAGCTCGGTGAAGGGATCGTCGACCGGGTTATAGTAGACACCTTTCTCAAGCACGAGAACGCGGTACCCGGCTTGAGCAAGCTCGGCCGCTGGTTGGAAATCGTGAGCAAGGTACGTGTAATCAAGGTGGAGGCGTACCGACAACACCGCCACCCGCGCCCGACCCGACGACGACGACGTCGGTTTCAAGCTCGATAGGATTGCCGTCGCCTGCTTCCTTGGCAAGCGCCTCCATGCTATCGCATCGCAGCTAAGATGGACCTACCATGTCCAGAATATGTACTCTTCAAAGGTGGGCACCCAAGCCGGCTCCATCTCGGGGTCTTTCTCTGGCACGCCAGGGTACTCGAGCGGTGCCCAGAACGGGCTCGGCGCGCCATCGACCGTCGCCGGTGTCGCATACGTGGGCAGGACGACGAGTGCCTTGAAAGCGAGGAATAGCGACCGGACAATAGACAGTCGCGAGCGTGCGAGGTTGTTCATGGCGGCTTCGCGCTCGTGGCGGTCGAGCTCAACGAAAGGCGCCATGCGGCTGCCCGTCAGCAGCATCGTGCCCCAGCCCGTTGCGAGCAGGTCCAAGGCGCGCGAGATATCTCGTACCTTGTCTTTGGGCAGGTCAAGCAGGAGCGTCTTGAAGCTCTCGAGCACGTTGAGCTCCATCGGGTCAACCTGGGCCAAGGCCATGAGGCCGTCGCGAGTCTGCGTCTGGAGCGGCGCCGCATGATCGCGCAGCGTAGCGAGGTGCTCGGTGACGAGGCGGCTCGCGTCGTCGGCGCTCAGCGGCCCCGTGAAGGTGTCGACGACCGCGGCTAACGTCGCCGACTGCGTGTCGCTCCAAGCGGTCATTTTGCACTTTGCCGGATCCGCTTGGAATTCCAAGAATCGGACCTAGCGTATCTCGTACTTCAGAGAGCAATCTCAATTGAAATAGTGTGTGTATACGTAGACCGCTATTTCCTCAGCGATCCGTGATACTCGTTGTCCCCCTCGCCACTGCACTCGAGAATGAGATAGGTTTGATGCATCATCCCGCCCCAATGCCCCTTCATGGTGGTACCCAGAGGCAGGAAGCCAAATACGTGTTTCTCGCGTCACACTATTTAAAGGCTCTTGATTAAGTGCGCTGACGAACTGAAGGAAATACGCTATCCTGGTCATGCAGCAGCAGATCAAATGAGCTCATGATGCAACTTCAACCTGAGCGGACCTGGTCCAAGCTAGTACCGCTTGGAGGTTATGTAATCAGGACCCAAGCAACGCCGAGAACGAGCGTGTAGGTACCTTTTTGAGCCGCCACCGACTTGTGTAGCGAGTTGGCCTGGCGACCATGGCAAGATGCTCCATCTCGCTCTCGACTCGACCAAAGGAACGAGCACCCCCAGCAACACTGACAGCTCAAAAAAGCGACTGGAACAACATTATTAGTAAACGAGTTTAGTGCGGGAAAGATGGAATATGTTTTTGGACAACGTTTTTGGACAGAACGGTTCTTAGCCCGTGATGACGCGGACGCCGAGGAGCGACACCTTGTGCGCGTCAATGTTGTCGGGTTGGCGAATGAACATCATGTTGGTCGAAATGCCGAGCGTCTCCGAGAGCCATTGGACGAGCGCCGGCTCAAAGATACCTTCGATCGAGATAAAGTCAATCTATCAAGCGACAACTGCGCTCTCGACGTGAAACAAACCCAGAGACAGTACCTTGATTTTCGGGTACATGCGGTCAAAGACAGCGACAAGGTCCACAAAGCCTTGGGGCACCGGCGTGCTTGGCTTGTGCACGTGCACGATCTTGAGCGTCTCTGTCTGCTCGTTCATGCGCACGTACATGACCGCCTTGTTGATGAGCGAGAGCGACATGTGCTTGCAAAAGAAGACCGTTGGTGGCGCATTGATGCTCTTCATGATCTACGCCACAAAGATACCTACCTCTCGATCCAACACAAGTGTGTTCTACCTTGAGAATCGTGCGACCACCGCGGGCACCCGTGCGCGGCAGCAACAGCTCTTCGTCGTCCGGGCTCTCGTCGTCGTCGTCGGTCGCGTCCAAGCGGCGGTCGCGGCGCGACGGGCACAGCGTGCGCATGATGAAAATCGCAAACCGGAGCAGCCAGAGCCGCTCCAGCATGCAAAAGATCAGACCGACGACGACGAGGAAGTAGAGTGCAAAGATGAGCGACACGCGCGGGTCGCCGAGCAACGTGCCGAGGAAGCCGAGCACGACCATGCTGAACGCGACAATGCACTTCCACCTACGACATCGCCATCGTCCTTCGTACAAGACCACCATGTGTACGTACCAAGCCGCGTTGGTCTCGCGGGGCATGTGGCTGCGCTTGACCTTGAAGAGAATCGCGCCGGCCGAGAAGAGCACGAGGAGACCAAGGAAGGCATATGAAAAGACACTCGAGAGCATGACAATGTCGCCATGCAGCACGAGCACCAAGCTCGACGCGACGGCAAAGTACGAAAAGATAATGTAGTGGTTCGTGCCCCGCCAAGCATTTTCCGCCAAGAGAAACTCGGGCAGCACCCGGTCGCACGCGAGGCGCCGGACGAGGCCCGTGATACCGACATACGACGTCAACACCGACCCCGCGAGCACGATGAAGCCGTCGATCGTGACCCAGAGCTCAAACCCCGGGCCAAGGACGCGCCGCGCCATGAGCGCCAGCACGACATTGTTGTTGGCAATCGACCCGTCGGCGCCAAAGAGCGGGAGGACGCTCAGGTTGAGCAGCGACAGCGTCACGTTGAAGAAGGACGAGAGCGCCCACATGTTCTACGTCAACGGTCGTACTCGCGTGCAGACAAGAGCAACGTACGCGGAGAATGTTGCCAAAGATGCCGGGCTCCTGCTCCTCGACAAAGTTGGCCGCCGTTTCGAACCCCGTGACGCCCAGCATCGCCGACGAGAAACCAAAGAAAATCGCGCGCAGCGGTGTGCCTGCAATGAGCGCACCGCAGAAGTCAATCTCGGGGAGGTCGGACGCGAGGTTGTCGCGGAGAACCTAGTTGACCATCTCAGTACTTCGACTACGCGATGCGATTGCATACCTTGGGGTACTGGACGCTGTAGACGACGGACCCGCCAATCAAGATGCACAGCGTGAGGATATGCAGCCCAAAGATGAGGAGCGCAATGACCTACTAAGAACTTAGTCGCCATGCATCAGTATACTAGTCGCCAAATGCGTACCGAGCTCTCGGCCATGCCGAGAAAGTTGAGCAGTGCAAATGCAAAGAGGATTCCAATCGCGCTTTGGATCGAATCGAGGTCCGTGACCTGCGCCTTGAGGTAGTCGGAGGCCGAGACCGCGCCGACGACGCCGGTCGCAAGGTATGCGATGATGGCGAGCGCCGCCGTCATGGCCGCGACGCGCTTCGACGACGTGTTGAGCATCGTGTTGTACGAGCCGCCGTTGAGCGGAATCGCCGAGACGACCTCGACGTAGACGAAGCGGAAGAGGTACATGAGGCACGCGACCATGAGCGTTGGGATCGGCGCAAGCTTGCCGGCTTTCGAGGCCACAATGCCGGACGAGTAGAGGCAGCTTGAGAGCAGGTCGTTGCCGCTAATGCCCGTGGACGGCCACTCGCCGAGGAGGTGGCGAGGCTTTTGCATCTTGTGGCGGATGCGCTCGAGCTCTTCCTTGGGCACCTCGATCTGCTCGGCGTGGCCATACCCCGGGAACGCCCAGGTGGCTAGAGAAGAAGCATGAGCCTGCGCATGACGTAGTGACGGACGTACGCCCCGAGAGCGTATCTTCGGTCACGTCGAACTCAAAGTGGCGACTCGGGTTCGCGCTCGAGCCATACGACCGTCGGCGGCTCATCGTCGGCGACGGAGCAGACGGTTTTTAGTCCACCACTTCAACCGTGCACCGACTAAAGATCGGTTGGGTACCGACTACATTTCGACTAAACGCGAGGTGGGTTTGTCCCAGAAATGAGTTTCGCCCATTTGTCCCAAAAGAATCGCCCACGTGACGGGCGAAACGGCTGGGTTGATTGCTTCCACGTGATATGATCCCAAGACACAGGGCATCATCATGTCGGACTTTGCGGCAACATGGAAACAGTCGGGTGGACTTGGATGGTCGTTGAAGGTCGTTCTTCTTGGCGTTCTTGCTGTACAAGTCGTGCCCAACGAACATAACGAAGAAAACGACGATCAGAGTATCACAGCAGGAGTTAACGTTTTCCGGTCGCAGGCCAGAAAAGCTGCCGGTCCCGCGATGCGCAGGGCGACGAGAACTACCGCGCTTCTCCTTTGGTCATACTAGTAGCCTATATTTTGGAGGTTTTGCTGTGGCAAAAGGGCCGGTGCGGCTAGCAAGTCGACGCGCCTAGTGTCATGGCCGTCGCTGGTGATCTGGAGGGGCTCTGAGCCTCTTGTTGAAGGGGCCGATGACAAACAATAAAGAAAATTACGCACGTGGCACACATGAGAGGTATACGTAGCGCATGGCCCAAGTGGGTTCGCGCACCACGGCCGGTCAGTACTCGAATGTGAGGCCTCCTCCCCGACCACGCCCCCGACCATGCCCCCGGCTGGGATCGAAGAGCGCTAGCTTCAAGGCAGTAACTTGCCGAATGGCGCTCATCCGTTCTTCAAGGCGCCAGAGTCGTATGGGACCCAGACGTAGGGCAATCTAAGTTGACTCGTGTGCGGATATCATTCTGTGGCACCAGCGTGATCACGCAGCAGACGGTCAAGCCTCGGGCCTTGCCTTGATTAGATATGGATGTGTATACGTCGTGTTGTGTGGCTGATCACTGCGAGCGGGTCGACAAGCCAATGGCTGTAATGTGAGCTGTCGAATGGGCCTGATTCGACGCGTGTCAGAGACTCGGCCATCGGGCGCGAGAGAGGAGCGGAGATGGGGCTAGACATGCACCCGATCGACTGGCTTCCATAAACGACAAGCAGCTGCGGCGAGATCGAGGTACAAGTACACCGAGGTGGGAAGCCACGACAGTACTAGTACGGACCGTCGATGTGTGAAGCTCAACGGTCTGGCCGGCATATGGCGTATACACTGTAGTCTGTGGAGCGACCTGCACGTCGTCGTCGGCAACGAGTGGAGTACAGAGCGAGGTGGACGCGAGGCGCCTTATAAATAAGGTGCATTTGTGTAGTATGATGAGGAGGATGGAAGATGAGATTGACTACAACATGACAACTCCGGCATCTACATGAGCAAGAGACGTCAGTACCATAATAGGAACAGGGAGCTGGCGTACCCTGAGGCGTACTGGCGTCGTCGAGCTGCATGGCCTCGAGTTGCCGGTACAAGTTGGCCGTGATCGCCTGGACACCACGAATATGCGACGTGTCACGGTACTCGGAATCGGAAAGAAGGGCGCTGGCGCCGAGCGTGCCGATCGCCTCCGAAAACGTCGTCGCGAGGTCGGCCCACGTCTCCATGCGCTCGATCTGGCCGTGTTCGTCATAGTATGCGAGAAAGCCAGCTTGGGTCGAAAATTCTTGCCCGAGGATCTAATGTGGTGCGGAAGATGAGGATGAGGATGATTCCTTTGTCCACCATTTGCGCGTGTACGTGTACCTGCTGGACAATGTCTTCGCGGGCGAGGATGTGCGGGTACATGGCCTCGATCGTAAGGCGCGTCATGACAAACGTGATTTCAACGGGGACGCGAATGACGGCCGCCTCGTTACTGTGCATGACTTCGAACCCTGTTGGCACGAGCTTGAACTTGGGGTGGAACCCTGCCCACTTGAGCCATTGGTCTTCAATGTACGAGTGGCCAAAGACGCCGCCGTACATGACATCGTCGCGAAACAGAAACCGCGAGATGCGACGCTGCTCCGAGACGCGGCCCGGGTGCGTCGGCAGCACGCCATAGAGGTGCACGTGCAAATACTGGGCGAAATTGGACACGAAAAAGTCGTCGCGTGCGCTGAGGTTGCGCAGCTGCTGGAGGTTCTTGTCGTACTCGGCGATCTCGAGCTCGATCGTCTTGACGTCTTCCTCGAGCCCATTGAGCATCCGCTGGCGCTGGCGCAGGTTGCGCTGGTTGATACGGACCTGATCGCGCCGGCGCTGCTTGCGCGCAGCCTCGGCCTCCTCGAGGTCGGTGCTGCCAGCGCTGTCGTCGGCGCGTGGCGCCTCCTTGCGTGGCCGCTTGGTCAGCATTCCTGCGAAACTCGGAAATTGAACTCAAACCCACGCCCGCGATATCATCTTTTTGGCCAATCAGAGCACGGGCGCGTAATATAATTCAGGGTGGGCGAGGCGTTTTTTTACTCCTTCTCTTGTACTTTGTAACGCCATATGATTAAAATGCAGTTCGTACGTTGCATATTAATTTACAGCAGAAGCACCTGCGTTTCGCCGTGTAACGCCTGCTTGCAGTGTGCAAATCCTCGACGTTCGATGGACGCCGACAAGGACGAGCGCGGCCGCGCCGAGACGATGGTAGGCCATGCGCATGCTGCGGGAGCCATGGAAGAGGTCGAGGAAGAGGAGGATCATGGCTCCATGCGCCTCGTAGGTCCCACAGGATGCGACCCGCAAGAGCACCGAGACCAAGGACGATGGTGGAATCGTCGTGAAGAAGGAGAACTTCAAGATGCCAAGCTTCCATGCGCTCTTCAAGGACAAGGTGCCGAGCCATGAGAAGGCAAAGCTCGTGGACGACGCGGTGACAAAGCTCTCGAAGCGGTCGTCGGAGCGAGCCATGCGCGCCGACGTCGTCGAAGGCTACATGCGCGTGTACCTCAAGAAACAGGACAAGAACCTCTTCTTTCTCGGCAAGTCGCGCTACTACGTTGTCGTGAACGCAGAGAGCCCTGGCATGGAGATCTTCACGTACGTCATGCGACTTGCGATGCTGCTGCTGCATTCTTCGTATGGTGTGCAGGAACGAGTCCAAGACAACGTCCATCTACATTCTCTCGCTCTGCAAGGCAACGCTGAGCTACGACCCACGCGACGACAGTACCATCACCGACAACATGTTTACCATGAACGTCCAAGCCTGGACGAAGCGCACGACGATCCACTATCGGCCGCAGACATTTGCGTTTCGCGAAGAGAAGCCCGAGCGAGCGCTTCTATGGGTCAAGTGCATTAGCCGCGCGATCCTCCATGCGGCCAAGCGAGGGGACGACGGCGTCGTCGGGGCCGACATTGTTCGCCCCGGCATGGGCCTTAGCTCGTACCACATCGCGGACGATGGATGCATGAGCAACGAGTCGGACCTGGAAGAAGAAGAGGCACCGCGCTCGTCGCGCGCGTCGTCTGGCGATGATGCAGCGATACACCCGGCGGTTGAGACCTGCGCTGAAGAGCTTTGGGCCGGCTTCAACCTCAACAAGCTCAACCCGTTTTCGCCGTCGTCGAAAACGCCTCCGAGCGCTAGGGCCAGCGACGCTGCGCTCTCGCCAACGGTCGTGTCGCCGTCCAGCGAATTGGCCAAGGCCAAGGTCAAGCTCCAGTTTCCCTCCATCTTGGCGCCAAACAACACGGGGGAGAAGACCAAGTTCTTAATCTCCAAGAGTGGCAACAGCCCCATGGCGCTCCTCAACCGAGCGATACATCCACGCAAGTCCAAGCTCTCGTCCGACGCCACGTCCGACGCCCGACCGAGCATGCCACCAGCGCTCGTTCTGCTGGAAGATCGCAACGAGCTCATGCGCCAGCGCAACTTTGACAAGGTTGTGCTCGACCAAAAGACAACGGGCGTCGCGCCCATCGTGCCAATGCACAGTTTCTGGGCCGCTTGTTATCGTCGCGTGTGGGCGATGGCGGCGTCCATCTCGCACAAATGCGGTGGCCTCGTCCTTAGCGCTCTCTCGGGCGCGTTAGGTCTCTCTGTCGTATGCCCCGTCGCGCTCGCGGGCTTTTACGCTGCCAACGTAGTCTACACCACGAGCTACTGGCATTTGTTGGCCATGTTCCTCGCGGTGCACACGATGGCTCTCTTTGGACTCGCCCCTGGCGTTGGCATGCTGCTCGTGGTCTTGCTGGGATGGAACTTTGCAGAGGAGAAGGACGTGCGACGCAAGAGTCTTCGCGCCGAGGCCCTCCACATGACAGCGGCTGAGAAGGCCAACTACCACAACTACCCGTCGATTGAGGTGCAGTCGCGTCGAGGATATACCTCACCATGTCGTTTTAGTTTCCGAGCTGGGTCAAGTTTTCCGGTACGTCCACCCCTGGAATGGATGACGCCGGCGTGTCGTTTGATGTCATGTGGCAGACGTCGAGCGCGCCGAGTGGCTCAACAAAGCGATTGAGCGGTACATATGCTCCCTTGACAGTGTCCAGATCAACATGATTTTGTAGCGGCTGGCCGTACATCAAGGTGGCCATGCGGGTTGGAAATCCTATTCTTTCTTGGTGCGATGAGCGATTGCGACGGGTAGAACTCGATGATGAGCTCGTTGAATCCCGTCTTGGACTCGAACAAGCCCACGTTCATCTCGGCGTTGTCGCTTATCAATGTCGACATGGGCTCGTCACCGCCGTCGTTTGGTGGCATCAAGTGCATTCCCTCGGATGATGCGCTTCCCGACGGTCCCGTCTCGGAAATCTCGTGGGACGCCGAGGTACGCTTCGCAGCGGGCGACGACCAGCTTGCAGAGATCAAGGTCGCCCATCAACTGGGCGCGGCGGCGCGTGTGCGCCTGAAGGACCTCGTCGTCATGGGCACGATGCGCATCACGCTTCGGCCGATGGCGACGGTCTGGCCTGGCTTTGGGTACGCAACCAAAATCATCCAGACGCGGGTCATCTCACAACGTCGTCTAGTGGTGTATCGGTGTCCTTCATCAGGTCTCAGGACCGACCGGAAATGTGGTGGTCTTATGTCCAGCCATAGCCACCCGCGGATGGAGTTTTCGCTCACAGCCGCAAAGATCAACGTCACCAACGTTCCGTTCATATCCGACTTGTACGACGACATTGTCTGCTTGTCTTCATGCTGACGTAGCTTGCAAACCTTCCTTCGCGACCTCATTGTCAACAACATGGTGTGGCCAAAAGTGCTCGACATGCCCTTCTGGGACCCCGAGCTGTACCCGATCGAAACAAGCATATTTCCGACGAATATGTCGACGTCCGCCGACGTGCGCTCGCCGTTGGCGTCGTCGTCCACGACCGACGACGATTCAAAAGAGAAGGTACCAGCCACAAGCGTCTTTGGACCTGGCGTCGTTTCGCTCCACGTACGCAACTTGGTCGCGACGTTTGATGAACCGGTCGATCTCTACTGCATCGTGTCGCTGGTGGAGGCCACCACCGAGCCGACGAGCCCCATCAAGCTGCAGAGTACGCTGCACGGAACGTCGGCACCGCAAACGACGCACAAGACCGAGGTGCGCCCGCTGGACGAGTCTGCCCACTCGTGCGCGTTCGATGAGAAGTATGAGTTTTACTGGGCCAAACCGACGCGACCCACCATGCATGTTGAAGTTTGGCGCCACCAAAAGAGTCTCCCGGACGAGGTCGTGTGCACCTCGATCGTTGACGTTGGCGCGCTCATCGTAAAGCGGGTACCGAGTTGCGGCCGATGCGACGTTTCAATGTAATATGGTGCCTAGGACCACGAGCTCCGCGTCGACTTGAGCTGGCCGTCGGTCAAACCCGGGCAGCTCTACCTACGCGTGTGTCGGCGGCTCTTTTACTGCACCAAGAAAGCACCGACGTCGGCCCAAGGTCACCGCTCCAGTACGTGCTTGCGGCACTCACTCCTATTTTCGCCTGTACTGTACTAGCCATCGAAGGGCTTGGCTCGGACGTGTGCGTCGGCATGCTCCAAGTGACGCTCCACCACTCGGTTGAGCTCACACAAGAGGATGGGACGGCCGTCGACATGGACCCACCAGCCATGCATGGTGTCTTGACGTGCGACAACCAGAGCTACACGACAGCGCTCGTCAAGCAGCAAAAGTCGGTCGTCTGGAACGAGCAGTACGTCGTCTCCATCAGCCACGGATCGCATACCAAGGACGTGCTAGGTTCAGCTATTTCGTCTACTCGGTGGAGACGGCGAGCTTGCACGTGGAGCTCTTTGCGCAGCCGCGGACGGGCACGGCGACCAGCCTCGGGCACATTACGACGTCGGTCCTCGAACTCCGGAAGCGACTGCCCACAAGCGCAGACGTCGTCAAGGAGACGCTTCCGCTCCAAGATGGTATCCGTCCCGAGTACTCGCACGCGGTCACCATGAGCGTTCAATGGCGCCACCTCATGAGCTAAAGACAGGGGCATTGGAGGCATATTGAGGACGGTTTAATTGGACTGGTACTCTTTCACAAAGACGTTGAGCTGCTGGAAGAGCGCCGCCTGGAGACCGGACGACGCCTTCGTCGAGAGCGCTTGGTGGAGCTCCTTGCCCTTGGGGTGCGAGTAGCGCTCGGCAACGACGACCTCGACGTCGTAGTCACCGCCGCAGTCGGAGCTCATGTCGACAAACTTGAGCTGGCCCTGGATCGTCTCGGTACCGTTTGTTGCCTTCCATTCGCACTCGACCGTAAAGAGGAGGTCGAAAATGTACCTACAGAGAGAGGTGCATACGACCGCAAGGAGAGGAGGAAGCGACGCACCGCTTGGCACCGCGCACGACGGCGATCGACGCTTCGCCCGACATGTCCTTGATGTCCTTGACGACGAGGAGACCGGGCGCGCCGGCGAGCGTGCACGGCTGCGGGGCCGTCGCGCGCACAAGCTCCGAGACGCGGTCGTGGGCAAACTTGGTCATATCGCGCTCTTCAAACGTGTTGCCTTGGTTCCACGCCGACCCGCCTTCGACGGCCGCGATCGTGACGGCCTTGACGTCTTGGATCTTCTGCGGCGCGATGTCACCGATGAGCGCCTTGTCCGCCTCCGAGAGCTCGTTGTTGAAGAACGTCGTGACACGGCCGTCTGCCAACTTCTTGTAGCCGCGCACGCCCTTGACGTCGACTTCCTCGTCGTCGTCAACGACGACCTTTTCGCTCTTGGCCACGGTTTTCGCAGCGGCAGGCTTGGCCGTCGTCGTCGTCGTCGTCGTCGTCGTCGTCGTGCTGTTGAAGACCGTCTTCGTCTTGGGCGAGAGCGGGGCCGTCGTGCCAGCGGCCGCCTGGAGAGCGATGGCTTCCTGCAGCGCCTTCTTGACGCTGGCGTTGTTGGCCTCGAGGTTGTCGGCGGTCGTGAGCGCTTCGATCGCGGCGTAGAACTGCTTGAGCTTCACGAGGGCTTGGCCCTTGCGGAAGTAGCCCTTGGCAAACGACGCGTCCATCGTCGTCGCGGCCTCGGCATCTTCCAGAGCAAGATCAAACTTGCCCATCTTGAGGCGCGTCGCACTGCGGTTGCTGTGCAAGATGTGCACGCTCATCGTCGGGAGCGCAATCTCGATCGCACGCGAGTAGAGGATCTCGGCTTCTTCGAGGATGTTGGCCGAGAAGGCTTGGTTGCCACGACGCTTGATCTCCTCGACGAGGCGACCGAGCTCCTCAGGCGCCGTCGGGACCGCCCGCTCGAGCACGTCCGCATGACGCGACATGCCACGGGAACCGAACATGATCCAAGATTGCAAGATAGGAAAATGACGCCCAAGATCACAGCCGATTTGTATGGGATGCTTACGTCAAGACATTCTAGAAAAGCCCTCCCAAACCGCATAATTAGCCGGTTATGCATCAACCGTAACCGCTCGGTTGCACCCCGCTGCACAGTGCACCATGCGCGTGCGCACCGCCCAAAATGCTGTCACGTCCGCCAAATAGTGTCATCTTCAGCGAATAGACCGCAGCGTACACCCCTGCGATCCACGATGCGGCCGACTCCACGCCGTCTTACGCTTGCTCTATGCACCGAGCGCCGTAGGCAAGTGCTAATGACGACGCTCCAGTGTCATAGCACTGCGATGCACCGGCGGAAAGATGAAAAGTCTGAAATAGTGTGTCTACACTACTCATGTCGGGATGCAGGCCATTGAGTGGTGACGACACGACCCAATGAACGGCCAGTGTGAGAATATCGAGTCTGAGAGTATTGTCATCCAATGTGAGAGGTCCTTTATCCGGACGTATCCGAATACGCGAGATGATTGGTGGAAAGCATTGGTTGGCGAGGTCCATGGGCATGGAGGCACGGACGAGCTATTCCAAGTTTCAGTTTTAGTGTGAAAGTAAAGAGAAAGATGTCTTCCACCGGTATTGCTTGCGGTGTCGCCAAGGGGTACCCCGTCACCAAGCGCGAAGTCGCGCCCCGCCCGGCCGCCAAGAAGGGCGTACGTTCCCTACCTGCGCATGACGAGGACGATGCTCATGTGCCATGTGATGTGTAGCGCGCCGGCAAGAAGACGCAGTTCGTGCGCAACATTGTCCGCGAAGTCGTCGGCTTGATGCCGTACGAGAAGCGCATCCTTGATATGATCAAGTCGGGCGGCTCGTCGGCCGAGAAGCGCATCTACAAGTTCACCAAGAAGCGCCTCGGGACGCACCGCCGCGCGCTCCACAAGCGCGAAGAGATGAAGGCGTACTACGCTGCCGTCCGCGCCAAGCAAGCCGGTATCTAAACGACCTCATTTCATTCTTCACCAAAACGACGCTCGGAAGTACCTCGTTGATCTTAATCTGAATGCACAAAGTTCGATTACGACCACCGTAGTCGCACCTCGCGCTCGATACAATCTCTTCTCGCCCGCACCGCTGTGTCCTCGCAGGTGTTTGCCTCGCCCTGGCCGTCGCACCTCCTGGCACCCGTGGGATCCCGCCGTACGGAGGAGGCGCGACATGGAGCCGTTCGCAGCACTCTCCTGCAAGCACGACGGCATCGCGCGTCCTGAGTTGTGGCAATGGTGCACGGGTGGCCGCAAGCACGCCATGTCGAGAGAGTTGACCGCTAGAGCTATAACCCATAAGCCAGCCACGCACGCTAAGTCGTTTGCGCAGTTCCTTTGGATCCCTATTTTGGAAGCCGGAGGAGCAAGGTCCTAGGACAAGCCGACACCGACATGAGGAGCAAGTGCTATCGCTGCTCGTGTTCGATGCATCGGGCACATATAGTAGCGTGCCTTGGTTCGATGGGTCGCCTTCATCGCCGTCATCTCTAGCCTCTTGGCAATCATCTTGCACTCGTTCTCATCTTGCAGGTCCAGCGTTGCTGATGATGGCTGGCATCATCAGTGCTTGGCCGCCTTTCTCTCTGAAATAGTGTTGGATTCACGCACCTTCTCGGTCCTTGCTATTGGGTACGCATCGTCTGACGATACATACACACTGACAAAGAGCACTCAGCAGATCGAGCTGTGTCTTGGACTCGATCGCTCTACCAAGCGTGAAGTATCTCGTCGATGGTCAGAGTCATTTTCACACTATTTCACGGCTGTGACCAGATCTTCAACGGTTCGATGGATTGACATGGCACTTTTGAACGCGCTGCCATGTCGACAGCGGCCAAGGTGCATGCAAAGACGTTTGAGGTCGTGCCAGATGTGGCCCGCGCCGACGCCAAGCGCCGGCAACTGGCCCGAGACGCCAAGGGCCTCGCCTGCTTGCGCTGGGCCGCTGCAAGCGTCGCCGTCCTCTTTGTCCTTGCCTACGTGCTCGTGTACTTTCTCTTGTCGCCGATTGGCGCCGTCCGCATCTACAAGGACACGACCGTGCGCTACGCATCGTACGTCCACGTCCTCTCTGGGTCGGTGTGGCTCCTGCTGTCGACGCTGCAGCTCTTTCCCGGGTTTCGCACGTCGGATCTGCGCCGCCACCGCACCATCGGGTACGTTGCGCTCGCGGCCGCTGGCATCGCGTTTGTTGCTGTCTGGACCATGATGCTCATCGCAAAGACGTCGCTCGAAGGCGGCCTCGGCATCCTTGTCGCCGCGGTCATCTTTTCCCCGATCTGGGTCTACACGCTGTACGCTGGCGTCAGCGCCATCACGCGCGGCCAGGTCGAGCTGCACCGGTACTACATGACGCGCGCGTACATTTTGGCGGCGGCCATCATGGCCATGCGGCCAGGCGTGGGCTTGCTCCACAGCCTCTCATTAATGCAAGACGTCCCACTCCTCGACCAGGTGCCCATCATCCTCGACAGCATCTTCGCCGAGCACATTCAAGACGACACGCGTCTGCGCCTCGGCGTCGTCTCGCTGGTCGTGCTCGCGTCCGGGTACATGCTCACGGAAGCGTATGCCAAGACGCCCGCCGCCTTTGCGTCCATGCTGCACACGGCGTTTGAGCCATGCACGCTCGTGGCGCGGCAGCTTGTTGCGCCCGACATGGCGCTGCTCGTCCTCGAGTCGCCGGCCGGCTCCGTCCTCGACCGGGTCACGCCAGGGCACCACTGCGCGCTGCGAATGGCAGGTGTGACGCGATCGTACACGCCCGTGCCGCTGGCGCTGGTAGCAAGCGAGATGCATGCCCGGCATCGCATGGGCGTCCTTGTCAAGCGGGTTCCGAGCGGCGCGCTGAGTCCGCTGCTGCACGACGTAGCGCTGGGCACATCCATCAACGTACTCACGCCCATTCCTGGTGCGTTTGAGCTCCAGCCACAGCTCCATTCGGAGCTCGTCTTGGTCGCGGGCGGGTCGGGGCTATCGACCATGCTGTCGCTGTTGCCCGACGCCGTCGGCGACGTGCGCTACGAGCGCATTTACCTTCACGTCTACACGACGTCTGGGACGCCGTTCCAGCACGAGCTCAAAGCCATAGCGTCAGCGCAATTGCACGTCTTTTACCACAAGGGCCGGCCGCGTGCGGATGACTTCCACGCTGTGCGCCCGGATGCTTCGAAGATTGCGGTCTGCGGCCCCGTGGGGTTTATGCATACCGTCATTACAATCTTCCCGAATGTCCCTCGCCTCCACCTCCACGCCTTTGGCCTCGACGACATGTAAAGAGGTACCGCCGGTACTCGGATGCGGCATGGTGCTGGGCTGCATGAACAGAGTTTGTTGGCAGGAGCTTTGCTTAATGATCAATGACTCCGCTCATGTTGATACAGCAAGACCCTGCGAATAGCAGCATTTGGCGCTGGAGAAAGTGGCTCCGACCTGGTGCTTCGTGCGCTGCCAGCCACGCCGTCGACCAGCAGCGCAGGCTGGCGGCGGGAGAGGCGTAATCCGCGTCTGTGATTGGCTAGAGGACCGCCAATCAAAACCAGTCTATAATTCTTGGCCATGGCCCCGACGCGCGCTGCCACGAAGCGCAGCCGACCGGCCGAGGTCTTGACGACCGCGGACGACGGGCTCGTACCTGCAATCCAAGGCTTTAGCGATGACCAAATTGCAGCGTGGAAGTTGATGCTGGCGAAGGAATGGTACTTTGAGGCGCCGGCCGACTTCTTCACGCTCTACGCGATTGCACGCAGCATTGCCCCCGGGCAGCCTACCGGTGCGGGTTGCCAACCGAGCCGAAAGCGCTTCATTTGTGCATTCGTAGATGCGTTCAAAGCATCGCTTGGCCTTGAACTCACGGGTCCGTACATGGCGCTGTCGACTGCACCGACCTTGCCGACGCCGGTACCGCATCTCGCAGGAGGCGGTTGTGAGCCAGCAGGCCGCGTAGGTCTTCTTGCACGGCCGATGCTACTACGACCCGCCCGAGGTCATCACGGTGGCCTCGTCGCCGACCTTTCATTTCGGCTACTTGCGGTAGACTACATATTGCCTCACCAGCCCTGTACCTCATGGCGAGTAGCGACGCACCCAAAGACACACCAACGCATGTCGTGGAGGGCTCGAACGATGCAGTACGCACGCAGAAATGACGTTAGCGCTCAAGCGTGAGCGTTGTACTAGGGAACATTCGAGTTTCGAGGTCGCAGCCTTGTCGACGTGGTCCACGCCAAGCTCCTCGAGCAACCCCGCGGCACGGTCGACGGCCTATTGTCGCACTTGACACCCTTTGTCGTGGCCGTGAGTCCAAAGCGCCCAACAAAGCGAGCTAGAGCTGCGACATGCGAGCGCAAGTGGACTGCGCCGACGCTGAGTGGCTTGGGGATTTGCGTGCCGATCCACCCAACGACGGGCGTCGGTTTCCGAGCGCTCCCGACGCAACGTCACCAGCTGCAAAAGCTTCTCTCCAAGCCGCGGAGCAAAGACGTCGACGATTTGCTTACACGCGCCAACATTGCGGTCGACGAGTGCGAGTTTGGCACGGCGCTGCAGCTCGGACTCGACCTCTTTGCCCACCGCGACACGTACAGCGTACGTTCACTGCATCTTGCATCGCAGGGCTCACGTCGTGTAGAATGAAGCCAAGCGACTGCTCGACGTCGCCTACCTTTTGCTCAAGCGCGGCGGCTTTGCCAAGGTCTTGCGCCATCATCTCGCGTCGATCGAGAAGCCGCTGTCTTCGTAATGCCACCTTGTCACTACCATACATACTTCTCTGCATCCGTGTTGCATCCAACCTCGAGCGTCCAGTGAAGGCTCAGTATGGACTACTACAGCTCTAACTACAACTACAACGAGTATTACAACTAAAACTAATACTTCTTCGAAAACTGCGCTGATGTCTCGGGCGTGCAGCACCAACACGAGAGATCAATTTGCTGAGCTTAGATCTGAGTCGTTTCGAGCTCTGTTTTAACGCGCTTGTAACTAGCACGACGGGGGATGTTGGCGCGCCTGGGGCTTCCGTCGTCCAAGAAGAAATACGAGGAGAGCATTACGGGCGTGCACGCTTACCGTCAAAAGTACCAAGACGCGCTGCTCTTGCCCAAGCGGGAGCTCCAGAATCTCGACCTCTCGCCGCCCAAGAGCAAGCGCCACCACTACCGCCACCGCCTCGAAGATTCGGCGTCAACCAAACCCCACAAACCGAAAGAGCTCTCAAACGAAGAGAACGACGCGGTCTGGCGCCGATGGAAGCAGCGCAAAGCCGACGTGCTCGCCAAGCAAAAGCAGGTGCGTCGATCGTATATAGACATCGATGCTATGAGTGCAGGAGGACAACAACGTGCTTGCGAGCTTGGAAGCGCGCGCACCAAAGCCCGGCGACGACGGTAGCCGCTGTTCACCTTCGCACTCGTCCGACGACCATCGTACTATGTGACGTAGAGGCCCAGTTTGAGCGCTGGAAGGAAAAGAAGCGCGAGACTGACCGCGCCGAGCGTCAGCGCAAGAAGGCCGAACAGGCCACGTGGGGTGCGTCACGCAATCGATCCGCAATCGGCTTGCACTGACGTGGCATGCGCACGGAGTTAGATGCTATGCTCGAACAAGACAAGGCGAAGCGACGAGGTAAACACTGTTCCACGGCCTTGCTCCTCGCCTTACCAACCGGCGTGCAGAGCTGCTGCAAGAGAAAGCGCCGCCAGTAGCGTGCGCCGTCAAGACCAAGAAGAAGCTGCCCCAACCCGAGACTCTCTTGCACGTGCTCGAGAAGGTACGGCCGCTCCGAGACGATGATAGCAAGTACGTTGTAGGTGCAAGCATCGCCGTACAGCAAGCGGTTGCGCGGCCACACGAAGCCACCGGACGCAAATGCGTCGGTGCTGCCTCTGATTTTACAGAAGGCCCGGCCTCTCACATCGACAAGCTCACTCAAAGTGCCATTGGGACAGCTTGTAAGCGACCAAAGCGACGACGCCAGAGGGATGCAAGCTACCAGCGACGACGACGACAACAATGAGCAGCACGAGGAGAACGAGGGGCTGCCGACGCTCGTGGTGGCCGAGAGGATACCGCGGCCGGCCACGTCGGCGATGGCTGCGAGTAGTTCGAGTAGTAGTAGTACGCGCTAGTTGCTGCTGACGTAGTACGAAGGACGATATCAATCTATTCGACCGCAGCGGTTTACGCTACTTCCTACTTGCTGTCCTTCTGGGGCTTGCCCTTGTAGACTTGCTTGCCGTGGTTCCAAGGCACGTAGTTGTGCTTCCACATGTGCTTGATCTGGCGCTTCATCGTGAGCGTAAAGAGCACGATGAAGTACATGAGCAGAATCGGCCAAAACACCTGCGAGCGCATGAGCGACGAATGTAGTGCAGGATGATGCCGTACCGGGATGTTGAAGATCTCAAAGAACGTCATGAACAGCGCGTAGAACGTGGCCTTGGTCGTCGCGTACCAAAACTTGAACTCGGGCACACGACGGCTAAACGGGCGGAACTCTTCGCTCTTGGAGGACGGCAGCACGGGGCCGTCGGTCTCCGGGTCAATCTACAAAGCCATCATGAGCCTATCTGGACGACGATCGAAGCGAATATGAACCTGCGGCGAGAGGAACCCGATGAAGAGGTTGAGCAAATAGATACCAAGGCCATAGGTAATGATGTGGAACGAGTTGAGCGTCAAGACGCGCGCGAGGTACACGACCAAGAGCACGGCGGAGAAGACCCAGCGGCCGGTCACATGGATCGTGCTCTGGTCGAGCACGTGCTGCCACTTTCTAGAGCGATTCGCTGCATGAGGCATGTGCACATACAGCGCAAGAAGCGTACCGGCCCACGGACGCGGCGACGCGCTCCAAGAAGACGGGCTCCGTCAGCGATCGCGAGTCCCCGCCGGCGCTACTAGCTGCTCCTGGGCCCATGCTGCCTCAACCAAAAATAGGGGCTTTAATAGCGCTACACGCTCCACATACAAAACCCAAGTCAAACCCGACCACGTCCGGATTGGCCACTTGAGCAATGTGGTGGTCACCTGTGATTGGCTGAAAAACAGACCTATTACACTGAATCTTGCCTGGAGGATCGATGCCTAATTAGGACTGCGTCCAAGGCTGCACCCAACGAACTCACCAATGTTGCTGGAGGCTGCCACTGCGCTTGAAGACTTGGCTGTGCCATGACGAGCAACTCATTTGGATGGAGCTATCTGTACATGCACTTCTGCCGACCAAGGATATCTCTGGCCACTCGCACGCTGGATGGATTCCGAGGCTGGTGCAGTCAAAGACTCGGTGGCTTCGAGTGCACTCATTTCGCTTCAAGCTGGACCATGCGGCTCAATGAAATGTTGTCGTATCGTCCACAGAGAGCGCAAGCTGACAACGTTGCAAGGCTGCAGCGGAAGCCCTGAGGTTTGCTATCAGAACGACTTCACGCTGGAGCAAAAGCGCGCGAATGAATTGTCGCACTATGCAAGCACCACAAGTTAACGCTACAGCGTCTCGCAGCGGGCAGCCCGCGCACGCGCCCATCGTGGGACGGGCGAATTCGCCAGCGATCGACGGGGAGCGCCTTTTTTACAAATTCTTGCTGGGTTATAATGTTGCACCCAAGCGACCGTTGGAGGTATAACAGACAGGTGAGGAGGTCTAACATCCCGTGAAACACGTTTGCACACGTTTTTCTCAGTCTAACACATTCCAAGGTTGGACGCTCGCGAAGATTCACCCTATATCCGGAAGGATCGGTCTTTTTATCCGGACTGCGCATCTGTCTGTGGCCAGGACTTGTTCACTCTGTGATTAGCAACCTGCGATGCAAGCGATCCGCCGCCACTCGACGAAGCAAGTCCGCGCCTTCTCGGTCAAGGCCATGCTCCCGGTGCTGGAGTACGACTACAACGAGCTCGAACCCATCATCTCGGCCAAGATCATGGAACTCCACCACAGCAAGCACCATGCGGCGTACGTGACCAACTACAACGCGCTCTCGGAACAGTACGCCGAGGCGCAGGCCAAGAACGACGTGCCCAAGATGATCGCCTTGCAGCAGGGCATCCGCTTCAACGGCGGCGGCCACATCAACCACTCGATCTTCTGGACCAACCTCGCGCCGCCCAAAAACGGCGGTGGTGGCGAGCCCACGGGCGCCCTCAAGCAGGCCATCGAGAAGGAGTTTGGCTCGTTTGAAGCGTTCAAGGCCACGTTCAGCGCCCAGACGGCCGCTGTCCAGGGCAGTGGCTGGGGCTGGTTGGGCTACAACCCGGTCCAGAAGCGCATTCAGTACGCGGCGTTGGCCAACCAGGACCCGTTGAGCACCGTGGGCTTGATCCCGCTCCTCGGCGTGGACGTCTGGGAGCATGCCTACTACTTGGACTACAAGAACGTGCGCCCCGACTACCTCAAGGCCATCTGGGAGATTGTCAACTGGAAGAACGTCGAGGAGCGCTTCGCGGCTGCGTCCAAGTAAGCCTCGGTGTACCCAATGCGATATCAATCCACCATGTCTTGAGTCTATTGTGCATGCAGCCTTCCTACTGAACATGACGAGTTGCTTGGCGGCATGGCGAGTTGCTGGCCGCCATGGCGAGGATGAGGCTTCCACCGCCGGTCGTCCTGGGGCGTGCGACCGACGCTCAACTTCAACTTCCCACCCATTCCGGATACGCTCGTTTCCACGACAATTATATATACTATCTTTTGTATGGAATACAATAAAATGAGCGAATTTCGAGATTCGATCGAACTTTTCGCAAACCTTCGACGCAGTATCCGGATCGGATCCGCTGCGAGCGGGCGCCAGCAGTTGCACACGAGATGTCCAAGCCGCACGGCCTCGCCACGCGCCTCAAGGCCAAAGACGATGCCAAGAAGCGCAAGGAAACACTGGTCAAGGTACCTCGCATGCTCTACCATAGGCCACGCAGTCAGCAGCTGGACGCGTAGACGGCGGTCTTCGGCATTCCAATGGCGATAGTCCTCGTCGCGATCGTAATGGCCTTCTTCTCTGATGGCATCGAGTTGGATGCGAGCGACAGTCTCCGCGCGCCGTCCGGGTGGATGAAGGACGTGGCAACGACCAAGCGGCGCGGCGACTCGTACTACTCGGCCGAGCAGTACGACGTAGCGATCGAGTACTACAAGTCGGCGCTGCGCAGCGTGCGCACGCACGATGCCGTACACGCGATCTCGCTCCCGTCGACGCATGTCAAACGATCGATGTTTGCGTAGGAGAAGATCACGACCAAGGACGAGACCAAGCTCATGCGCGCCTACTTGTCCAACAGCCTCGCACTGAGCTACGGCCACCTCGGCAACACGACGCAAGCCGAATCATGGTACCCACACGCTACAGGACGAAGCCTGAAGCAAGAGTGTGCTAGGTACGAGAAAGGACTGAGCGTCGACAGCGAGCACTTGGAGCTACTGTACAACTACGCCAACCACTTGGCCGAAACCAAGCGCTGGCTTCACGCCGAGAAGGTGCGCGCGGTGGTCTCGAGGATGCCACTAAGAACTGAGGTAGCACTACCGCAAGGCCATTGCGCTCAAGCCCGACTTTGACTTGGCCATGATGGGCCTCGCGTTCGTCTTGCAGCAGCACGAAGCCTGGGACGAAGCGCGCACGCTGCTCTTCACCGCCTGGGAGATTGCCAAGGACAAGGTACTCCATCTACACATCTGCAATACAAATCAGCTCTTATAGGACGTGGCGGCGCAGCTCGGGTGGCTGTACCTGAGCGAACGGAACGCCGACCGCGCGCTCGAGTGGCTCTCGATCGCTGCCGACTTGGGTCACGTCGGCGCACGGCAACAGCGCGACGAGCTCCTCCTCGTGTGGCAAAAGACGCGCGAGAGCATGCACAAGGCGAGCGACCAAGGCGACACGATTGAGCTCGGCAGCAGCCAGTAGACGCCCACGCTTTGGTCCCCGAAGTCGCGCGATTTGCACGCAAATTGTTGTGGAAGTATTATACAAACCCCTAACCCTTGAGAAATAATCGCAGGTGCACTATTTCATTTCAGCTTCACATACACAGCTGATGCTTAGCCCGCTTCACGGACATCACTTGGTGAGACGGTCGGTCCTTTGTGAAACAGTCTCACGAACGCTCCTCACCTAGCAACTCGAGCGTCGGTAGAGGGAAGTGAGTTATCATATTCTCCGACAACCAGAAACGTCAGGATGACTAGAGTCGATTTCTTCTAAATTGGAGAAAGGACGTCGAGTTTCGGACCTAGGTCTCTCTGACGCAAGCAACACGGTGAGGTACTGCAGTAATTCGAGCTCGAGCATCTCGTCAACCTTGCATGTATTAACTATCTACAGGTAATACTCTTTCCCGGCTTCGAACGACGGCTGGCGCGGGTTCTGGCCGAGCGGCGGCAGTCGCTTCTCATGCGAGGGCGCTGCGCGCTGGTCGAGCTGGTCGGGCGGCGTCGGCTGCGTCTGGTTGTAGTACATGGTGATCGAGCCGGCGCGGTCCGTCTCGGCATCATCGTTGTCGTTCGTCTCCTTCTTGAGCTTGTATTGTCGGTAAAAGATAAAGACTTGGCGCACGAGGAGGAAGACGACGACAAGGCCCTGGAGCGAGAGAATGACCGTGCTCACAACGTTGCGCGCCGTCTCGGGCAGACCGACGAGCGTCGTAAGGAGGAAGATCGTCAGCGAGAGCGACGCGATCTTCATGATCGTGATGAGCGTCGTCGTTTGCTGCACGAACTTGGCCAAGTGCGGCTGGCGTACTTCCAAAAAGAGCACAAAGCCAACGTTGAGCGCCATGAGCACAATCACTTGGGCCAACCCAGTCCAGTTGGCCATGCCGGTCGTCATGCCGCAGAGAAGCGCAAGGAGCATCTTGACGACAAAGAAGAACCGGTTCTCGTAGTTGTATTCGTCGTAGAGGCACCCGTACCGGCGGTGCACCTTCTTTTCAAAGTGGTCCTTCATGCCAATGTCGACAATGTCGTCTTCGTGCTGGCGGACAATGTAGTAGCCGTACACCATGATGCCAATCGCAAACACAAAGAGCGAGAGGACGGCGACAAAGACGCTGACGCCGAGCGACTCGCTGTCGCGGTACACGCGGTTGATCTCAAACGTAGCCGTGACGCCGATCGCATACTGACTCACAATCAGGAGCGTCACGAGCGCTCCGATGGCGTGGTCGACGACCTTGATCTGGAAGGCGGGGAAATCTTTGGAAACGAGCTTCCCGCCAAGCAGCGCGAGGCCGAGGAGCACGCCGAGCGCGCCGACCAGCGAGATCAAGCCCACGATCGTCACGTACAAGAGCTTGTTGGGCGCAATGCCGATCGAGAGAGCGTAGCGCTCCATGCCCGTCATCGAGTTGTCGCCGGTGACTTCGAGGCGGCGCGCCGTGCTGTTGGCAGACGAGGTGTCGTTGGATGCCACTGGCTTGGCGCCGTCCCAGACTAGGAACGAGAGCGTCGTGAACGAGAGCTTGGCGCCCATGCTTGTGATGACCGCCGGCATGTTGGCGACGTTGAGCTGCGACGTGCTCACGCAGAACTGAGCGACGCCGATGAGGTTGAGTGCGACGGACGAGCCCGCACCGAGAGACGACGCGGTGGCCGCCGACGAGCCGACGGCACCGACGGACGTGGCGACCGCAGTCGTCGCCGAGACTGCAATGGACGCGTACACGGTCGTCTGCGATACGCTGGCGGCGACGACCGCCGCTTGCTCGATGCGCGTCGACGGCACCCAGTTGCTGATCTACAAGTCCCTTGAGATCGGACCAGAGGTATGTAGCACGTACGAGGCTCGCTGAAGGGTTATTGGCGCTGGGGTTCTGGCCGTCCTTGTTGGGCGTCTTGGCATTCTGGACCGTCGGGCACGAGCACGTGTTGTACGACGAGCACGTCTTGGCGTTGGCCATCGAGAACTTCTGGAGCGTCACTGCGCCTTGCGTCTTCTCTTGCAGCTTGGTCTTCATGGCGGGCGTGAGCCACTGGGAGAAGTCGACGTTGTTGTAGATGGCGCTGCCGAGACCGCTGCCGCTGCTCGCATAGTCCCACATGTCGTTGACGCACGACGGGAAGAGACATGTCGAGAGGCACGCGTCGAGCGTGACGCCCGAGAGCGGGACTTCGCCCTTGTACGTGGCACAGGCCGCCGCGGCGACGGCTTGGTTGACATCGAGGTCTACCAAGAGATAGATGCAACGACGAGGATCATGGAAGCGGAAAGGGTACCTTTGCCGCCGCACTTGAGCCCACTCGAGATCCACTTGCCGTAGAACGCTGCGTCGCACGAGAACCCACCCGAGGTCGTCAGTCGCCGACGGAGGCTGGGCGACGGCGTCGGCGTCGACGTCGGGCGACCGGTCGTTGCGCTGGGACTCTTGGTCTACAGAAGATGTTGGCATGCAATGGGAAAGCAAGTGGGTTTGCACCGTCTTGGACGGCGTCGGTGTTGCTGTCGACGGCGACGGTCCGCTCGAGGCGCTCGGGCTCGGGTTCGGGCCCGGGACGCTCGTCGGCGGCGAGAGCGTAATGACGTTGGTCGAGCTGTTGCTGCTGCTGTTGGTGTTGGTGTCGGTCGTCGTGTCTTGCACCACGTCAATCTGCGTCGAGAGAATCGCCGACGAAAAGACGAACGGGCACTGGACGCTCACGAGGTTGGTCGTCGGCGCCGGCGTCACCGACCCGGACGAGCCATTCGTGTTGTTGCCGGGCAGCGACGTGACAGGTACGATGGGCGTCACCACCGTCCCGTTGGGCGGCGGCGTGGTCGTCGTGGACGTCGTGGATGGCGTCGGCGACGTCGTCACGGGCGCACGTGACGTTAGGGACGGCGGCGGCGTTGGCGTCGTCACCGTTGGTACCGTTGTCGGCGTCAGCGGCAGTGTCACGGGCGTCGTGGTATCGGTCACATTGGGCTCTACCTGCGCAAGGCCAGTCGCGGCCAGCGCGGCGAGGACCAGCGCGCTGGAGAGGAGCGGGCGCATGCTGGAACGGGGAATGAACCAACAGAGCCAGAGATCGCAATCGACCAGCCAACAAGTGCCATCCGGGGCTCATGAAACCTCTCAAAATGAATATCTTCCCAAGCTGAATCTGCCTTTGCTGGCTGGCTCGTCGCTTCCTCGGAGGGACAACGACCGCCCATGGATCCGTACATACAGGCGGTGCACCCGTCACCTTCTCCAGCGCAGTAAAGCTGCATGTACTCGAAGAATTTGCCCATGCCAAGGCATCGGTCGTCTGCGACCATGTCGCTGACCCAGGTGGCGTCATAACGGCGGCCAATCGACGCGGGTACGTGCCATCTTGGAGAAGCTTGGTACACTTGCCATCTTGCCATGAACCCTGACGCATCCGTGGCGCGACGTCGCTGCTCGCGTTGGCCCGTGTGATTTTGGCGCCAAGCCGCAGTTTGCCTGTAGCTGCGATGCTTAATGCAGGCGGTCGACGGGGCAGGTAGCTCGCCGGTAGGCACGCGGTGCACTCGGAAGCAAGGAGGATAACTGCGCCGAGTGAGTGATGGAGGGACTGTGACTAATAAGACATTATTGTCATTGATATCGTACCCTTGGACTTGGCTCTGCTATACTCGAGGATTGAATAACCTGTGAAACTGAATATGGATGTCGCACGGCGTGGCGCCGACTTGGGCGATCCAAAAGCGTCTGGCCACCTGTGAGTAACCCTCGCGACAGCGCCAACCAGACGGTGTTACGGAATGTTAGACAACATTCCAACGTTCGATAACGACGCGTCAACGCTGTTATAACCGTGTGCACCTCGCGGTGGCGGAATATGTAACAACATGTAACACGCGATGCAGGTACACTTTTCCCGACTCACGCTGGGCCGACTACCAACGGCACCAACAAGGTGACTGCGCTGATGGGTCGACGCTTGGTCAACTTGCCCTACCATCGCCCGTCCTCATGCATCATGTGGTAAGCAGGGGCAAAGGGGTCCTATGACATTACACTTTATTTGGTTTGGAGGACACCGGCGGCAATGAGCTTTTCAATCTTGGCCATGACGCCCGGGTTCTGCATGTGGCGCTGGGCGGCGCGCGGGTCCGTCTGGAAGTCGTTGAGCACTTGCTGCATGATCGGGTCGCGCAAAATGGCTTGGATCTCGGGGTCGGCCATGCCATGCGCCGCGCGCTCCTCGTCGTTGCCGCCGGCCTGCACCTTGCTCTGCACGCTGCGGAGACCGTCCTGGCACTCGGCGTTCGTCGGGTCAATGTCGAGGCCCTTCTGGTACGACTCCATCGCCTTGTGGTACTCCTTCATGAAAAACTGGATCGCACCGAGGCGGCTGTACGCCTTGACATACTTGGGGTCGAGCGCCAGCGCCTTCTCGCAGTCCGCCTTGGCGTCCGGGAACGACGTGAGCTTCGTGAGCGCCGCCGCACGGTTGGCGTAGTAGACCGGGTTGGTCGGGTCGCGCTTGATGGCTTCCGTGTAGGCCTCGACAGCCTTGGGGAACAAGCCATTCTTGAAGTGCTCGTTCCCGAGCTCCTTGGCCTCGAGGCCCTTGACCGGGTCGAGGTAGGCAAGCTCCTTGGCCTTCTTGAGCTTGAGCGTCGCCTCCTTGAGCTTCTTCTCAACGTCGTTCGTGCGGTTCTCGACCTGCGCGCTCTCGTAGGCTTGGATCGCCGCCAAGAGGTTGGCCTCCGTCTCGCCCTGCTTGATGTATGCCGTCGCGATGCGCACGTAGGCCTTGGCCACGAGCGCATAGTCGGCGCGGTTGTCACGGCCAACCTCAATGGCCTTCCTGTACATAGATGAGCGTAATGGATACCAAGAGGACGACGTACTTGCACTGCTCAATGCACGCATCGTACTCCTTGAGCTCCAAGCGGACGGCCGCGAGGTTCGAGAGGTACGACATGTTGGTCGAGTCCTTGGCGATCGCCTCCTCGTAGCACGTAATGGCGTCGGCAAACTGCTTCTGCTTGTAAAACGCATTGCCACGCGCCTTGGCCTCTTCGGCCGCACGCTTCGAGGCACGCGCCGTCTTCTCCTCGTCCGTCAAGTCTTCCTCGACAACGACAGGCTCGGGGACCGGCGTGGGCTTGGCGGCCGCGGGGGTCTCCTTCGGAGCCGGGGGCGCTTCGGGTTCGTCGTCGCGGTTCATCATGCCACCAATGCCGAGGAGCTCGCCGAGGACCGTCATCATGCGCTGGTCACCCATGTATTCGTTGAGCTTCGACGGGTTCTTCTGGACTTCCTGGAGCTTGATCACAAAGTCCGGGTCGTTGAGGAGGTGGCGCACGCGCGGGTTCATCGCGAGCTTGGCAAACATGTCGGGGCCAAAGGCGCCGGCGAGGGGGTTCGTGGCGCTCGCCATGGCCTTCTCCACCTCTTCAATACCGCTCAAGCACGCAGCGTTGTTGGGCTCGTGCGTAAGACCCTCCTTGTACGCAGCAACGGCAGCATCATAGTCCTGCAGCGAGTGCAAGGCCGCGCCCTTGCGCGCATAGCCCTTGCCCCAGTCGGGCTTGACGCCAATGCACGCCTCAGCGTCCTTCAAGGCGAGCTCGGCTTTGTCGTCGCTCAAGTAGGCCGCGCTGCGGTTCGAGTAGTAGACGTGGTTGCTCCCGTTGAGCGCGATGGCCTTGGTGTAGCACTCGATGGCCTCCGTGTTGTTCTTGGCCGAGAGGGCAGCATTGCCCTTGGCCTTCCACTGCTCCGCCTACGCTTGCGCCATGAGGAGCGGGTTCATGCGTCGGTGCCATGACGGAGGCTACGTACTTCGCTCGCCATACTGCCGACAAAATCTCAAATGAACATGATGCTTCCACCGTTTGGTCACGACCTCTCGTCACCTTTTTGACCAATAAGAGCACTTTGACCGAATTTTGGCCAATCACGGACGCGTCTCGGTCGAAATGCAAGGGATTTGGGGAAAATTCCAGAATGTACTATCCGGAAGGACGGCGGACGCCCCGCGTGTCACGACCACGTTGAAGTTGCCAAATCCAAAGATCGCAACCGACCTGAGCCCAACTCGTATTAGCTTTAGGGGCGAGCTGCTCGATCGATGCTACTGATAATAATGCACCGTCGTCAGCCAAAGCTTCTTCTCAATTATACTACACCGCCCCTACCTTCCTTGACATCGAACGTAGGGCTGGGACGCCACTTGCATAAGCGCTGGTCCAAAGTGGTTGGCGCAGGTTGGGCATATCGACCGCGTGTATGGCACACGTCAAGATCACAAATAACAAGGACGGTGCACGTACACCCCAACGATCATATCGGACCTCACTCACCAAGTCTCGCAGCAGCCACGGGCATATTTAGAGCACAAACGGTCTCTCACAAGAGGTTACTCTGCTGTCACAGCACTACTTGCAGCTACACTTGACGCATCTACCGCGAAAGTGCCTCGTATGCGTAGACAGGCGTCGAAACGGCGACTACGTCCCAAGAACTGTTGCGAGGACGCGGAGGATGGAAGGTCGTGCTGCTAGAGTTAGGCGACCTACAGCGGGTACGAAAACACTGTCTGCCATCGACCGACCTCACTTGCGAGACGTTTGCCTTTTGTGCTGCAGTGCCAAATTGAGCGCCAACCGCTTCGGAGGTGTTTCAAAACCCCCGACTGCCGCCTTTTTTCAGCCGACACGTTTCGAACATCAGCGGCCCACTTCCATTTTGACTTTGCGAGCAAACGATGGGCTTCGTGCACATTGCCACGCCGTGTGTCGAGGAGACGACGCCGACGACCAAGTGCCGCTTCAAGCACGGCGGCTACGTGGTCGCAGCCGGCCTTGTCGCATGGTTCTCGTGGTCGCTGCAGGGTCTTTCACCCGTGACCCGCTATACGATCGAGATGCCTCGTGATGCGCCATCGATGAACGCAACCGCGTCGCCCGCCGTCACCACGACAGTCCGGCTCAACGTCGGCGGCACACACCTCGAGACGACGTGGGAGACGCTGCTCAAATGCGACGACTCGTTCTTCCACGAGCTTCGCGAGACCGCAGCCTTGCCCGACGGTACGTACATGTCTTGTGAGCAGCAAGGATCGAGCAGATGTGTGCATTAGGTTCGTTCTTTGTCGACTGGAGCGCTGCGCACATGGAGCGCGTCCTCATGTTCCTGCGGTCCGGGTATCTCAACCGCCATGGCCTCGCGTGGTATGAAGACGACGAACTCAGTCGCACACTGCGCTTTCTCAAGATCGACCCCGAGAGCAACCAGTGTCCGTTTACAAAGGCGCTCGAGGAGCCCAAGGAGGCCAAGGCGCAGTTCTTGCCGGACGACTACGACGGCGAGGGTGTCCCGATGACGTCGACGCCGCACGTGTGCTCGTACGGTGTCCCCGGCTGTGATGGCTACTTGATGCCCGAGCCGGCTCCGCGCCCGACGCCCAAAAACCGTGCCAAGGGCAAAAAGGCCAAGGGCCACAGCAAGTGGCGCGACTAGAATTGTGAAACCGAACAACGTTGTGAATGAATGTCTTCAAATTGGGTCTTTTACTTGGATATGCCATTTTATACTGTTGAAATGTATGGACAATGGAAATATGACTAAACACACGCCACTTGGCGCGCCAAAACCGGTTACAGAGGCTTCAACGAAGGGTCACTACGGACTTTTGACGATGGAGCTCTTGGACGCGATCCGAGCTGGAAGCGATGTGAGTGCGCTCTTGGGCGCACCGAACGTCTCTCTCAACGCCCAGGACAAGGTTACTTGATTGTATCCCATGACAGGATACGAGAACTGTTTGCATAGGATGGCCACACGGCGCTAATGCTGGCGACGCAAGCCAACAACATTGGGCTCATGCAGCAGCTACTCACGGCGGCGTGCGACGTCAACCGTCGCAACCAGGTGCGACCTAGAGGCAGTGCCGTGGACGTAGCGAGCTTGGTTAGGCCGGCCAAACGGCCCTCTTCTTCGCCTCGTCGGTCGTGGCGGCCGCGCACCTCGTCGAGAAGAAGATCAACCTGAACGCGCGCGACGCTCAGGTTGCCATTTCTTGCGTTGACAAAACCATCGCGTGACGCACGTGTGTCACTACTGTAGCGCAGCACCGCGGCGTTGCGGGTCATCGAGGCCGGCCACGAAGATGTGGCCGTCTACCTCATCGAACGCGGCTGCGATATCAACGAGCGCAACAAGGTCTGACGTTCGAGTCGTGCATGCTTCTATCTGAGCATCTACTTGAGTAGGCTCAAAAGACCATGCTGTCGGCAGCGATTGGCAAGTCGCAGCGGCGCGTCATCGAAGCACTGGCGGCGCGCGCTGATTTGGACTGGAAGGCCGCGGGCACCGTGCGCTCTATGCCCTTCCAAGGTAGTGCGATGATGCTATTATGCGTAGGCGCCGCTGTTGTTTGCGGCCATGACGGGCAATGTCGACATCGCGTCGTTGCTGCTCACGTTCAACTGCGACATGGATGCCCCGGGGCCCGATGTACGCGACGACCAACGACTCTGTCTCTCAACCTCGTCCTTAGGGCACGACGCCCCTAATGGCTGCGATTCAAAACGGCCACGCGGCGCTCATGTTGCACTTGCTCGAGAACGGCTGCAATGTCAACTGCCGCGACAAGGTAAACCTGCAGCGAACGCCCCGTCCGTCTATCGACCCGTAGGCGGGACGCTCCGCCTGGAACTACGCCCTCGAACATGACCACAGCTTGGCAGCGACGCTTCTCGAGCATGGCTATGACCTACGTCGTGCGGACCCCGTACGCGCTCGTTCCAACGACATCCGACGGTATTTCCTTGCTGGCTAGAACGGTCAGACGGCGCTGGCGGTCGCGCTGGCGCACAAGGCCGACGTCGTGGCCAAGCTTGTCGTGACCAAGATGGCGGAACAGGGCTTGAACCTCAGCGCGCCCGATCCTGTCCGTGTCGTCCGCTGTCAACTTTACATTTCACGGTGTCATAGATGGGCAAGTCGGCGCTATGGGCAGCCGTGCTGCATGGCGACACGGAGCTTGTCGCGCTCCTCCTCGACGAGGGCTGCAGTGCGAGCGCCGCGGCCAAAGACGTGGGTGACGCGGCGATGTTGAACCCTATCCCATTGCTACGTAGGGCTCGACGCCGCTCTCACTGGCCATCCAACATCAGAAGGATGACGTCGTGCGCTTGCTGCTCCAGCACGACGGCGCCGGCGACGTGGTACAGTAGACTCTAAAGAACCTCGTCCTCGGAGTGACATAGGCGCTCTTGAACGCTGTGACCGCCGGTGACGTGGCCACGCTCGACGCGCTTCTCGGCTACGGTGTCGATGTGAACGCGACCGATCGCCACGTACGACGTTGCATTATGCAAACAAATGATGAATTGGGATGGGATTAGGGCAACACGCCGTTGATGCTAGCGCTCCGGCACCGCCACGAAGCAATGACGACAGCGCTCTTGGCCAAGCAGTGCGACACTGAGCGCTGCAACGACGTACAAAATATCGTCTTGGCTGACAAACGAAATGCTGCGGATGGTAGAAAGGCGAGAGTGCGCTGCACATGGCGTTGGCCGACGAGAACGTTCTGGCGCTCCTCCTCGAGACGTCGTCGGGAATGCTAAATCGTCAGGACCAAGTACACTGTTCAGTACGACGCTCGTGGTCGGATGATCTGTGTAGTCGGGCAAGACCTTGCTCATGACGGCGCTCGAGCGCCACGCGACGGATGCGGTGCTCCAGCGGCTTCTCACGCAGAGCCCACCGGCGTCGCTGGCCGCCACCGACACTGTCTGCTTGATGTCACTGCTGTTGCGCGCTCAACGGTACCCTCTAGATGGGCCGAAATGCGCTCTTTTGTGCAGTCGAGACGAACCGCGTCGAGATCGCCAAGCACCTTCTCGCACTCGGTACCAACCCCAACACGCAGCTCTCGACGACGGTGCGTCATGCGAGTACGATCGTAAAATTCGTCATGATCCCACAGGGAGAAACGGTGCTCATGGCCGCCGTGCGCCACGAGCCAACGCTGGTCGAGCCGCTTCTCGAACGCGGCGCGAGTGTCGACTTGCCCGATCACGTTGGCTGCCTACTCGTGCAATAGAAACAGCACATAGCGTCGCTTCTAGGACGGTGTGACACCGATACTGGCGGCGTGCGCCTCGTCGACGACGCCGAGCAATGTCGTCGCGGTGCTCGGGAAGCGCGGCTGCAACCTCAACGCGCAGGCGGCCACGTTCCACGTACGCCAAGTCGTTGCGTCTCTTGGCTCATCATCGCGTACAGGACGGCAAGTCACCACTCATGCTCGCGCTTTCACATGCGCGGGAGGATGTGGTGGAGCTGCTCCTGGCGGCGCCGACGACCGACGTCACACTGGCCGCGACGGTATCGCTCTTATCTCATCGCCACGAGGACGACAGTGGCGTAGGATGGGCGAACAGCGCTCTTCTTGGCGTCGACACCAGCGCTCATTCGCACGCTGGTCGCGCGCGGGTGTCCTGTCGACACCAAAGATAAGGTGCGTGAACCCGAGAGGCAGCGCTGGACGACGCATGGCGTAGCTCGGACGCACGCCGTTCATGATGGCGTTCGATCACTCGAGCGACGACGTTGCCTTGGCGCTCATCGACCTCGAGTGCAACGTCACGGCCGTGAGCAAGGTTTGCTCCTCTGCGGCTAGCGGCTTTGAGTCGAGGGATATTTGTAGGAAGGCGTGTCGGCGCTGTCCCAGGCGGCCGCCAGTGCCAGCGTGGCCATGGTGCAACGGCTCCTTGACGCAGGCTGCGACATCAACGTACGCGACCCGACGCAAAATGTAAGCGGCTATGCCGAAGTCGAACGACCACTAATTGCATGGTGGATTAGGGCAACACGCCGCTGATGCTGGCACTGCAAAACAACCGCACGGAGACTGTGCGTCTTCTTCTCGAGCGCAAGTGCGACGTCGTCCGCGGCAACAAGGTGCGTCGCAGCAGCAATTGCGCTGCGCGAGCTGACATCAAGTCCGTAGCTGGGGCAATCGGCACTCTTCTTTGCGTCCGTGGACACGGTCGCCAAGCTGCGAGAGATGGGCTGCAACGTCGACGCCAAGGACGAGGTTCGACGATAGTTGCAGCGAGCGCGTCGTGCATGCTCTCCGTAGGACGGGCAGTCGCCGCTTATGTACCTCTTACGTTGCAACCGACCGGACGTTGCGCGTCTCTTGATGGACAAAAAATGCAACCTGCTGTACTACAACAACGTACGCTGGTCCGAAATGCTGCGTTTGTATCGACGCGTTTGGCTAGCGGGGGGAGTCATTGCTGTGGTATGTGGTCCACGTACGCCCCGAGACGGACGCGATCGCAATGGCCACCGAGCTCTTGTCCCACGGCGTCGACAAAAACCACCAAGACAAGGCGGTGCGTCAGCCTGCTGTTTGCAGACGTAAAGGCCAAGGCCGATGTAGGGAGACACAGCGCTGTTGCATGTGCTGCGACACCGTCTACGCGGCGTCGCGCAGCTCTTGGTCGACCGGGAAGCCGACGTCACGATCCGTAACCAGGTCGACACCCGCTGCGCACCGTGAGCTCATGCGCTGCGTAGAAGAACGAGTCGGCGCTGCACCTCGTTGTCGACGACGTCGATTGGGTCGAGCGACTCATCAAGGCAGGGTGTCGCCTCAACGACCAGACGCATGTAGTGAGCATGTCTTCATGACAACATGTCTGCATTTTCCTTTGTTGTTAGGACAAAAAGCAGACACCGCTCATGCTAGCGCTCGAGTCGAAGTGCTTGGCGTCGGCAAAGGAGCTCCTGACGGCCAAAGGCTGCGACTTGCGCCCTGCCGACACGGTAGACAGCAACGTTGCCATGGAGGCGCACATATATGGGTCTAGACGGGGGCCACTGCGCTTTTTTACATCATTCGCGCCCAAGCCACGGCGCTGCTCGACACCTTGTTTGAGCGCGAAATGGAGTGCGACCTCAACGCCCAGCTCCACGACGTGCGCTCGGTTTTATATGGTTTTAGCTCACAACTAGTGGATAGGGTTATACACCGCTCATGGAAGCCATCAAGTTCAACCTGCCCGACATTGCGGAGCGGCTTTTGCGCCACCGCTGCGACGTGTCGCTGCTCAATAACGAGCGCGCGTCCGCGCTCCATATGCTCGAAGAGTCGACGTCCGTGGCGTTGCAGCAGCTGCGGAGTCTTCTCGAGACGACCGACCTCTTCTTTGGCGACACGTTTGAGCTCCACTTGCAGCAGGAGAAGGCGGACGCGGCCAGTGTGCCCCTCAGCTTTCTTCCGTGGCGAAAAGGGGCCCTGGAAACCGACCTCACCAAGCCGTACGACGTTAGAGTCGCGAGAAATTGAGGTTCTGACGACGATCGGTGTGTAGGGACGTGCAGTACGTTTTGGTCGTGCCGGGCCCCGAGATGCTCGAGAACAACAATACGCGCGACGCGTTCATTCCGGCGCGCTTTGTCATGTACACGGCGCTAACATAGCTGATGTCGTATCTCATCTCGAGCGTAGCAAGCCGCGGAGCAGCGATGCGATGGCCAAGGAGAAGAAGACAGTGCTCAAGTACGCATACGAGTTTGTGCTGCAAGTCGCACCGGAAACGTGTGCGATTTGCGTGCCGACGAGCCAGCAACTGTACTCGCTCAACGCCAAGACGCCGGGTAGCAACCATGTGCTCAGCCTCCAGCCGCGCTTCCGCGACGCGTCGGCCAAAGTGCTTTCCAAAGGCGAGATGCACGTGGCGTTGACCAACCACCGCGCAAACAACGTACGCATTTCCTGTTGCACTAGTCCAATGACTATGCTGTCTTGTAGCCTGTCCGCAATGGCGACGACAAAATTGTGGTGCACGTCGCCGACGCCAACCGTCTACGCAAGTCGTTCAATACGGACTGGGTGACACTGCCGGCGCTGACGCGCGCCGACGGCGTTGTCGCGCGCCCCGTCTGCTGCGACATTGACGGCGGCTTCCTCGGGCTCAACGGCTTGCTCGACCGCCGCCAGGCCAAGCCCGTGTTCTTCTCGATCCACAAGATCGACATGTAGCGACGTTACACAAGATAACACCGAGTTGCATGCTACGTGGCAGCCTACGGGCGCAGCAGCGGCAAAAATTCGTGCAGCGCCAGAGATCCGGTGCCCGTCTTGTCGTATGCACTTACGAGACGCACGAGCGCATCTCGAGGGGGTATGGGCAGCTGCTGTCGTGCTAGCGCTCTCTCCAACGAGTGGACCGTGATCACATGCGCTTGCGGATCGCAGAGCGCGGCAAAGAGCGCCCGCGCTGTCTTGCCTTCCGCGACGAGGTCCGCGACCAATGGCACGCGTACCGCCTCCACGTCGTCCAGCACCGTCGTGTGCTGAGGTACTCTTCGGGCCTCGTCCCTTGACGCGGGCGTGGGCAGAGCGAAGCTTGTAGGCCAGATCGCGTCGTCGTTCCGTGCCTCGTCTGGGAGGGCATCGACAAGCCGGCAAAAGTCGCCGAGAGCGAGCATGCCGTGTCGAGTGGGACAGTGTGCTGCAATGGCGTCGAGCTCGGGCTTGGCAAGAAGAATGCCCATGGAGGCCAGCCCGTCATGCAGCTCGTCGACGGTGACGGCGCCAAAGCTACCAACCTGTCAGATTTTTCGAGCCCGTGTGCACACGGCTCATATACCGGTCCTTGTCCAAGTGCAGGTACAGCTGACGCAATGACGTGCTTTTTTCGTAGAGCTTGGTGCGGAGACGGGCCATCGCGCGCTCGTGGCGCCAACGCTCGAGCTCGGCGAGGTCGTCGGACGACGGACACGGCAGTGCAAGCACTTGGGCCTGCGCAGCGTGCAACGTCGAGATAGGGGCCTCCGAAAGACGGCGCAGTCGCAGAAAACTCGTGTAATTGACGTACCCGCGGCCGCTGCGGTCGTACTTGAGCAGCAGCCGGGCCACGGTCGCAGGGTCGGTGGGCAGGTTGAGGCGCTATATACATCCGGTCAAGCCGCTGCGCCACAGAGTGCGCGTACATCCAAGGCGCGCTGAAAGTCATCGTAGCTGAGAAAGCCGGTTCCTTGTCGGTCCATGGCCAAGAAGCGGCGGCGGTCGTCGCCGTCGTGCGCGAGTCGGTGCGATAGACGCTGCTCGAGCTGCGCGACGTCGTCCGCGGCCTGGTGGCAGGTAGCGCGGAGCGGCTCGAGGGCGACGCGCGCCTTGGCTAGCAGCACGCTGGCGCCAGGCGTGTCAAAGCCCACGCTTGTCTGCGCCTCATGGACAAAGCTGGTAAAGAGCTCCACAAAGGCGTCGCGGGACATACACGTTAAAGAATGCCGGACGAACGTAAAACCACGTAAAACGACTTTTACTCCTTGGACCCGTAGGTTCAAGGACGTTTTACTCGTGCACACGGCGCGCAGCTTGCAACGTACTACGCCCAAAGGTGTCATCTCGCCTGATGGACCGCATTCCGCTGAACTTGAAGGCGTTTCTAGCGCCCAGCGCGTCAGCTTCGCGCGTCTATGACGGCGCACCTCTTGCCAACGTGCTTGGTTCTACTGCTGCTGGTATTATGGCAGCGCAGAGACCTAGTGCCGCTGAACGACGACACGGAGCGTACGTATTGGGCGCTGCCTGTGTGTGTGCGTGCGGTTCTGCGCTTTAGGTTCTCCCGCTGCACGCAGACCCGACGGTCGTATGGCGGTCACCCTGCCACGGGCTGCCGCCTCGTGCTGCCACGTGTGGTGGCTCGATTCTTTTCGAAATATTAAATTTTCATACCAATGTACTGTGTAGCGACCATATTTTTATGATAGCCAATCCGAGGCCACAAGTCATTTCACTGCAATGTGGTCGCTTCTGGGCGGTGTCTGCACCGGCGGCTACGTGGCCGTCGCCGTGCTCATCGAGAAGGTCAAGACCAAGCTACCGGCTAAGCTCACGGGCAAGGACCTCTGCAAGCGCGGGACGCCGGCGGGCGACGTGCCCATGTACGTCCATGACCCTCTCAACCTCGATCGTCTCATGCGATGGTGCTAGCCCCGAGGCGCTGGGCATTGTCTCTGGGTTGGTCTTTGTCGTCCTCGCGACGCTCCTCACGTTCTTCATCGAGACGCATCAGTCGAGCATGCGCTGGGGCATCGCCTCGATCACCGCCATGATCGTGCTCGGGTACAGCGCCTCGCCTTACGCCACGTCGTCACCGGCTCGTACTGCGTAGCTTTTGGGACGATCTGCATGATCTCAAGTGGCGCCACAAACTGCTCTTTCCGCCGCTAGCGACGATTCCAGTGCTGTTGCACTACTCGGGCCTAACAGCCGTCGTCATCCCCAAGCCTCTTCGCGGCCTCATCGCCGAGTCGAGCCCGCTCCATGGCGTCCTCTCGCTCCTCTTCGAAGTGTGTCGTGCGCACTGTAGCAACATGCGCTCACGATGCGCCTTGTGGTTCTTAGGTCTCGGCGCAAGGCGAAATCATCGATCTGGGTCCGTGCGTCGATTCCAGCACAGAATACGCTCATTCTGAATGTTTAGGTTGGATCTACTATGTCTACATGGGCATGATGGCGGTCTTCTGCACGAACGCCATCAACATTTATGCCGGCATCAACGGCCTCGAAGCGGGCCAGGTACGTCTACGGAAATCGTGGCAACACCATTCGATCTAGTCGTCCATCTAGTCGTTTGTGATTGGGCTTGCGGTTGTGATTCAAAACGTCATTCAGATCTACCGCGGTCACGACGGCGATCAGTATCATTACTTTTCACTCGTGCTCATGCTGCCATTCCTCGCCACGACGCTCGGTCTGCTCCGCTATAACTGGTACGTCCTCGTTCGAATGCAATCATCCTACTCAAAAGGGGTCGTCGTAGGTACCCGTCGCGGGTGTTTGTGGGCGACACCTTTTGCTACTACGCCGGCATGACGTTTGCTGTCGCGGGCATTTTGGGGCATTTTTCCAAGACGCTCTTGCTGTTTTTCGCGCCCCAAATTCTCAATTTCCTCTACTCGATGCCGCAGCTCGTCAAGCTCGTGCCGTGTCCGCGCCACCGCCTTCCAAAGTTCAACGCTGCGACCGGCAACCTCGAGCCGTCCACGGTCTCTTCTCGCTGTCCCGCACCCTTTCCACTGCATTTTGTAGATCACGCCCGAGTCGACGCGGAGCAACTACACGGTGCTCAACCTCTTCCTCGTCGTCTTTGGCCCAATGCCCGAGCGCACCTTGGTCGTGCTCCTCCTGACGTTTCAAGTGTTTTGCTGTGCGCTAGCCTTTGGCATTCGCTACGGCCTCAGCAGCCTCTTTTACGACGCTGTGCACTAAGTGTCGAGATCTCTCGTTTTGATATGAACAATGGAGTGTATCAAGTTGATACTCTACGGGTCGTCGCGGAGCTTTTCATACGCTGCAAACGAGACGGTCGCCGCCGGCACAAGGCGCAGCATGTTGGGCACAAGGCCGCGATAGAAGCCACCGACGCGCCACGGCGTCTCGCGCGCCGTTTCCTTGATGCAGTGCCACGTCGACGAGTACCTACACATCGCATTTGATGGCACATGGATCGAGAGAGCGTTGTGTACGTCGGAAACGTGTGGCCGGGCAGCCAGTCGCCCTGGACTTGGAGCTTGCGGCGAATGACGTCATACGGAAACGTCGAGAGCTGGGCGCCGAGCGACGCCACGACCGCGCACCCAATTTGCCCTGGCAGCGTCGACCGCGAGACGTCCGACGTAAAGCTAGTTACGCAATAAGGACAAGCAATGCGAGCGCAAAAGAGATGTACCCGTCGTCGCCACCGAGGAGCATGGCCGGGCGGAAGAACTCGTAGAGTGCATAATTGAGCCCAATGTAGACAAATGACCCGATCGTCGAAATGCCAAAGCCGCGGTAGAGGGACGCGACGCCGTCCGTGTGCACCTAGTCGCCGACTTAGTCGCTACTATCGACTGATTATGTGCGTACCATGCTGCGGAGGCAGTCGAACGACGTGGCGTACGTCTTCATGGGCGAAAGAGCCTGCTGGAGCGCGAGGCGGCCGCGGAGCACGTCGAGTGGGTACACGACACTGTTGACCGTGATACCGGCGCAACCGCCTGCGACGACGTTCTTGACTTCCGAGCGCAAGCCTATCCCCATGCCAACTTGATACATTGAAAGAAAAAAGTGACGCACCGAGATGCTCGAATTGCTGGCGGTACATGTCGCAAAACGCGAGCTTGAGCGGGAACGACGGAAAGATCTTGACGCAGTGAACGAGGTTGCCCGCAAACAAGCCTGCCAAGTTTGAGCATTTGCTTTTGAGAAAAGCTACGTACTTTGGAGCCCCGCTGTTGATACCATGCGCGCCCAGCTCTGGACGAGGCGTAGCTGCGACGGGTACAGTCGCACCTGTCGAAAGAGCTTCAAGCGCTCCAGCGGCGCTGTGACGGTGCGGGCACAAATGCCGGCGAGAATCGCGGCGCTCACGTAGCCAATCGACGAGTTGGTGCGGAAGGGCACGGGGCCGTCGGGCGCCGACGACGTCGTCAAGTTGGGTCGGCGCCGAATCGCCGTCTATCAACGTATCAACATGGCATGCTTGGCACAAGAGAGACAAATAGCGTTAAGTACCTCGAACGACGTTTGTTTCCAGAGCCGTTCGACGACGCCAAGGTCGCGGTGAAGCGACTGGAGCAGGTCGCGCGCGGCCGTCGAGAGCGAACTGGGCGCCTCGATCCAGCGGCGACAGAGATCGACGCAGTCGGTATAGTTGATGTCCGACGTCGCGTTGAAGACTGCGGACGTCCACTCGTCGTCGTGCATGTGCGCATGGACCGACTAGACAGTGGAGAGGGTTAGGGTACATCGAGGTAAGCCGAGATAATACGCGCAAGAGAGCTTGAGCCAAAAGGGGGTTGCCGCGCGCGCCGCCGTACGCCTCGAGGCACATGTGAAAGTTGGCAAATTGCGAAAAGTTGGCCACGTCGTTCGTGCCGGGGAAGAGGACGGACGCAGCGGTCTCGAGCGCCGCCGTGTCGCGGCCATTATTGGACCCGAAAAGGTCGAGAAAATCCTTTTTTGTCAACAGCGCACCGTCCGACGTGTGCACGCTGGCGGCGTCGTTGAAGACACGATGCAGCGCCGACGACCCGCTTTGACTGATGGTGAGCAGCGCCGCGCGGTCCTGTCCCATGGGATCGCCAATGACGAAATGACAAAAAGGGGTGACATACCATGCACCACACTTTGCAGTCGTCGAGGGCCGTGACGGTGGCACCGCGACGGCTGTTGTACAAGAGCGCTGCTTCGCCAAACGAGTCGTTTGGGCCAAGCACACGATCCAGCACCGGCGTCTCTAGACTGTTTTTGAGTTTGAGATTCAAAATGAGCAAACGTACCTTGGTCGGGCTTGGCGCGCGTCAACGCACACGCGCCTTTCTCAATGACATAAATGTAGTCGCCGCAGTCGCCTTGCTGGATGATGGTCGTGCCTTTCGCAAATCGCAGCGGAAAACATTGCCGGACCTAGATTGATACCAGTTAGTATCAACTTGATATTTTTATGTTTGAACGGACGGCAGCGGCGTGCGCCTGCGCGTTGAGGTCCGCAAACAGCGGGTGCGTCTTGAGTGCGCCGAGCAGAAATTGACGCTCGCTGAGCGACTTTTGCGCGGTCGGATGCGACGACACGATGGCCGAGAAGGCCTCCTGGTCGAGTGCGTACGTCACGACGTCGCTTTGGCACTTGACTGTCGCGCGACGGGGCGTGTGGTACATGAGGGCCGAGTCACCAAACGTGTTGCCCGGTCCGTTGGTGGCGACGAGGATCTACATATGTTTGACGATGCAACTCAACCGTCATGGCGCACCTGCTCGTTGGCTGTTGTCGATGGCTGACTAAACGACCGGCTCATGTTGCGACGGAGGTGGACGCCGCTTGGCGTCGCGTCTCGCGTGGTCTCGGTCGGCGTCTGGTGTCGGAACGTCGCATAGTCGACGTACACGTCGCACTCGCCTTGCTCGATGATGTGGAAGTAGTCACCACTGCTGCCTTGGTAAAAGACAACCTGCCCTTTGGCGTACCTATGCAAAAACGTCAAGTCACTCGCGCTCAAGGCGGGGTCGCGTACTGCTGACGCCGGAAGCGACTCGCAATCGATCGGAGCTCCGACTCGGAGAACGAGTGGAAGAGCGAGTGCCGCTGGAGCGCGCGGACGATCTTGACGATGGCCTCTGGCGGCGGCGGCACGTGCGTGTGGGCTGCTTCGATCACCGCCGTCGTCGCCGCCACATCTTCGCGCAATGAGATCTGAGGTAGCCACGCCGCGTCTACGCACAAAACACATACGAGATTCGGGACACATCGACCACTTTTCATAGGGCGTACTCTGGAGCTTCATGTAGTCGCTCGTCGCGCTAAAGTGCTTGGGGACGTACGAGTTGGCGGCGGGGTACGGCAAGAGGAGCCCGAGGTGCTGGTAGAACGCAGCGACGAGCTGCGAGCAAAACACACTCTGGGGCGTCGCGCGCGAGCTTTGGTTTTCGAAGATCGATCTACCAGAATCATGTAAAGCCGCATGCAGGCAAACGTGCCGACCGTTCCGTGTGGTCGAGCGTCTCGACGAGCGCCGAGTGCTCTTCACGCAGCCGCGTCAGCGCCGTGCGCAGCGAGTTGCGCTCGAACGACGTCATGTTGGCGCGGCGCGCCAGATCTTCTTCGAGTTGTTCAATCTGCCGGCGCCGTTCGACCTATTTCCATGGCATGAGCGAAAATGGCGGTCGACGACGCCATCGACCATGTCGTGGTAGAGCTTTTCACGCTCGACCCGGGCCGGCACGAGCGTCTGCGCGTTAAAGATCACTAGCCATCGTTTTAGAAAGTGCAAACTCAAAAAGTGCAAACTCAAAAGTGCAAACTCAAAAGTGCAATCTCAAAAGTGCAAACCCCAAAGGTAGTACCGTGGACACGCTTCTCATACGGGACGTCGAGGATGCTGTTGATAAACTCGGTTGCGCGCTGGCGAAATTCGGGCGTGCGATGCACCTCGAGCTTCTGGATGCGCACCTGTGGACAGTAGCGTGAGCTCATATTGCATGGAGTGGTCGACCTCGTACGACCGGCTGTGGCGGATGCGGTCGATGAGCGGGCGCAGCTTGACGCCAGCGAGCGACGCCTCCATAAACATGAGTTCGCCTAGGACGAGGTGAGCATAGCATGAGCGTGCACGCACGTACCGGCGTCGGTCTTGTAGAGGACGCCGTTGTGGTCCCAGCGCGTTTGGCCAAAGATCTTGGCGCCTTCACAGAGGATCATGCCGTAGGCGTTCATGAGGTGGCACTTGCGGTCAAAGAGCACGACATCGCCCGTGTCCAAGTTGAGCTTGGCGAGCAGCGCCGCCAGCTCCGGCTCCGAGAGCTCTGGCGACTTGGGCGTCTTGGTCGGCGTCGTCTCGGCCGTCATGTCGCCTGTCTGCAGCCAAACAAAACCAGTGGACCGAGTACGGGGACCTACCCGTTTTGTAACACCGCCTGTTTGCGTCATCGGAATATCGGCGATGATGGAGTGCTTTGGATATCTCATCGTCGACAATACTGTACATCAATCCACACAGAATACAATCATTCATATACTAGTAGAATACTAGTTAGTAGGCGAGTCGACAGGATTGTGGGTGGGTTGTGTCTGCGTTGCCGTCGGACCTCGGGCGTCCCACAGTGGGTCCGACGTGATGCGTTGGGGACGGGTCGTGGGGCCAGACCAAATCCCTCTCGCAACGCGAACGTGTGCTCCCTTGCTGCCCATTGTTGCTACTAGTATGTCAGCGGAACCGGAGTTCCAGTCGAACGACTAGTAGATACTGTATACGACCGATTTTAAAACCATGTACTAACTCACACAACCACCAAGGATGGCCTTGCTATATCAAAGGCGAATAGACTAAAACACAAACGATTTGCTAGTCCGATGGCGGAAGCTGCGCGAGCATACTTTCCTCCCAGAGGCACCACTGTTCTTGCTGGTACTGGAGCACTTGACGGGTATGGGCTTGCTGCAGAAAGAATCCGCCGAGGACGCACGTTGCGACGACAAGGGCGGCTTCCACGGCGGCATCCAGCGGCGCGTAGACGGGCACGACGCCCAAAGCCCACGTCGTGAGGACGAGCGGCACGTACTCGAGGAAGAGCGCGCGGGAGGCGGACCGCTTGCGCAGCGCGAGGGGCCAGCGCTGTGCGAGGGCGACGCGCTGGATACGAAGCGGACTCGTTACGTCCTTGGGCGCGACGGCGGAGGTGTCAATCGCGTACCACTGGCGCGCTTCAAAGAGCGCTTGCAAGAGCGCGTCGAGAGGCGCGAGCACAAGCAGTAGGAAGAGGACCCAGTAGACGACGAGGCGCCAGTGCAGAGATTCGCCTTGCATGGTGCAAGATGGAGACTGCTGCGGGTTTGTAAGAAGATCGCAGAAACAAGCAGTCACCCAAATGCTCTTCTACAGTGCTAGTGTACCTTGGGATCAGATAGCGGGCAGTGCAGCAGACACGCGCCGGTCCCGCCACAGCGGCTCTAATAGAGGCCAGACCAGCATGACCCAGGGTAAGTCGGCGGGTGGGAGCATATATTGGGATTCGGGTCCGAACGATGAGTCGATATTCCTAGCCTACATTTGGATCGGCGTGCGCGCGTCGTGCCACGTATTTTCAAAAGCCAGTGTCGACGGTGCCTCGTGATTGGTAGATAATTTTCAAACCACCAATTTGGATTGGTTACTGGGACCCGAGGCCACGGCGTGTGATTGGCTCTCTTGGAATTTGGAAGATGGACAGCCCGACGAGGAGCGAGCAGGAAGCGCTGTACGACGACGCCATGTCGCCGACCTCGTCCTTGGCGCATGACGACTACATGATGGACGACGATGTCATCTTCGACGAGGATGAGGATGATGCCGCCCACGCCCATGGCACGTCGTCGCCGACGGCGCTGGGCGGCGAGCTCTCGTGGCTGCGTCGGCTCGAGAAGGAGATGGACGAGAAGCTTGTGCTGGAAGCCAACAAGGTCAACGAGAGCCTCCAGCAGCGAAGGGCCGAGGACGAAGAGATGCAAAAGTCGCTGGCGACCTTCACAACGACCGCGCGGCTGTCGTCGGCGTCGGCGCTCACGCAGTCGGGCGCGTCGAGCGCGGGCACGACCGCCGACTCCAAAGACGCGCCCATGGACGAGTGGAAGGAAGCGTATACGGCCGATGGGAAGAAGTACTACTACAACCGGCGAACGCGCGAGTCGTCGTGGACCTGGTACGTTGATCTCTTATCCTATCGTACCTTCAACCTATCGTGCGTAGCCCCGACGACGTGATCCTTGTCAAGACCGAGCCTCGCATCCCACTGACGTCCCACGAGGCGGCACCCGAGGCCAACGATAGCATGTGTGACGAAGCGACGCCACAGTCCACGTCGAGTGCGTCATTCTTGAGCACCAAGAACTGCATGTACTGCATGTTTTGCGGTCAGTCGGCTCCAGCGTGGAAGCTGCTCTCGCACATGCAAACGTGCGCGGTGCTAGCGCACCACAAAAGCGGGCAGACGGCCGTCTTCAAGGAGGCAACCGACGTCGTCACCGAGCTCTTCCCCAAACAGGGTACCGACGCCATGACGCAGACAACCGCCAATCGGTCGGCGCACTATGCAGCCACGATCTCCACCGCCGACGCCGAACAGATCAAATCGCAGCTCGTTTTGCTCAAGCAACGCCGGCGCCGGCAGTCGTTGCTTCGTGTCGAGGCTGACGACAAGCCCACGGTGGTGCCCACCATCGACCACGACCACGCACTGACAAAGCTCAAGCGCTACTCAGAGCCGCCGCCGACACGCCAGAATCTGACCGAGCAGTGTCGCTACTGCAGTCGAACGTTCGCCGAGGTGCGTTTCTGGCCATCGCCAGCGGGCACGATAGGACCATCCTGCGTAGGGACGACTGGCCAAGCACGAAGCCTGCTGCCAACGCGTCTTTGGCGGCGAGAACGCGTGGAACCACACGATCGCACCACCCTCCGTGGTGCGCCGGGCGTCCGAGAAGGACCCGCCCAAGGTGCGCAAGCCAAAACACGGTCCGTCCGGCGCGTATCACGACTACCAGTCGACGTTCGTGGTGTGTCCAAGCTGCCAGCGCAAGTTTGCGCCGTCGGGCGCGCAGCAGCACATTGACATTTGCAAAAGCGTAGAAAACAAACCCAAAAAGTGGATTAAGCCCGGGTTTGCAGTCGCGGGCTAAGAACTTACTCCCTTTCATCTCCCATCTGGATCGGTCTGCGTATGTATGTGGATGCTCACGGGCGCAAGCCGGCTTGGGCCTTCTCGCGGATCTCCTTGCGGATCTTTGGGTAGTCGGGAAACTTGTCGAGCACTTTCTGGCTCACGTCGATCGCCTCGACGTAGCGCTTGGCCTTGAGGTAGTTGAACGCGAGCTTGAAGCCAATGGGCGCCGACGCTTCGCCGCCGCACTTCCACGCCTCACTGTAGCAGTCGGCCGCGTCTTGGTACGACTGCTCCTTCTCCATGATGAGGCCGAGGAGCTCCCACGCTTTGCCCGAGCTCTTGTTGTGCAACAGAGCCTTCTTGCAGAGCTCCTGTGCCAAGTCGTATTTGGACCGCGACACGTAAATGTCGGCGAGGAGGATGTAGCTGCGTTCAAACTCGTCCGCGATCGCCGGGTCGTAGGTCATTTTGGCGATGCGCTTGAGCTGGTTGCGCGCTTTCGGCTGCTGCTTGGCGAGCATGTAGGCCGTTGCGAGCCCCAAGAGCGCGGCGACGCTGTCCTTTTCGAGCTCGAGGATCTCGAGGAACACCGCGATCGCCTTCTCAATCGTCGGTTTGGTCTTGTTGGCGAGAATCGCGTACGCTTCGAGCACGCGCAGCTTGAGCGTTTTCTCGTCCGGGAGCTCGTCCAAGAGCGCATTTGCGATACGAATGTTCTCGGTTTGCTCCTTGGACGAGTCCTACACAGGACACTATTGTGCATTATGCGACAGCAACGACGACGTACGTCTGGCGTGTCCCAAATGTTTTCGTTGTCGGGGTTGAGATAGATCTCAATCATGTGGATAAGTGCGTGGCCGCCCCACTCGGGGTCCTTCCGCGCCAAGTTGAATTCAGCGACCGCGTCGTGGATGCGGTTTTGGTACCGGTTGTACAAGCCCTTGCAAAAGTGCAACCCGGCCGAGTGCGCAACGCGCGGCCCCGACCGCTCGGCCAGTTTGAGGTACCGGGGCACACGCTCGAGCTTGCCGGCGTGGCGGAGCATCGTAATGAAGCGGCTGAGCACGGCAAAGTTGTCCGACTTGGCTTCGAGCAGCTACGATCACCATGACGAATGGATACGGCGTTTCGACAAACTGTACGTTTTGAAAGTGGAAAATTGCCGATTCATTGTCGTCCTTTTGCAGCATGAGGTCGGCCAGCATCATCGCCGCTTCTTCGTGCGACGGGTTGAGGCGGAGCAAGGTCGTGCACTTGGCTTGGCACTGCTCCGTGTTTTGCATTTGGTTGTAAATGCGCGCGAGACACAGAATCGACTCTTCGTGGGACTCGTCGGCCCGCAGCGCCATCGTGCAGTACTTGAGCACGTTGTCCCTTTGCAATCGATACATTGATACATTGACAACTCGAGAGGAAGATCAATGGAGAGATACCAGTCTTTCATGGTGTTGTGGACAACGGCGAGTTTGTAGTTGGTCGTCGCGAGTGCGGTCGTGTGCCGCGGCAGCTCGTCCGGCCGTTCGTCGCGAAGCTTATCGAGCACGCTCTTTTGCAGATTCGCCACCAAGAGCAAGCTGTCGATCTCGGCCGGCGTGTTACCCAAGCCGTTGTAGATGCGCGGCAAAATGAGCTGGAGCTCGATCATCTCGAGCATCTCCTTGACGTCGCCGTGCGCGCCTGTCGACGGTGCCGACTGAATGAGGCGCAATGCTTGGTCGTACTGGTGCAATCGCGCATGGAGGTTGGCGAGGTCGGTACGCAGCGGTGTCTGGTCGGGCGCCGACTTGAGCGCCGACTCGTAGTACTCGATCGCCGTCATATAGTCGTGCTTCTTGACGAGGATGTGGCCAATGCGACTCGCGAGCGACGCGTCGGTCGGCGTCAGCACAAGCGCGCTGCGGTACGACTCGATCGCGTCGTCGAGTTGCTGGATGCGAAGGTAGGCTTCGGCCATTCGAATGTGGGACTCGACCGACGGACTGAGCTTGACGAGCTCCTACAAGAGTTGTTGGTCGTTTCACGGTGGGAGATGCGGGGCTGGACCTTGTAGCATTGAGCGTAGAGTCGCTTCTCCTTGCGGTGCTGAAGGTAAATGTCGGCTTTGATCATCTGCGCCTTGACAAAGGCCGGCGACTCCTACGCCTCGATGCTATCACGTGCCCATAAGGCGACCGAAGGCGTACTTGCGGCACGCCGTTGAGCATGATGATTGCATTGTCAAAGTCCCCGCGCTTGATGGCGAGTTCGCTGTTGGCGACGAGCACGCGCACTTCTTGGGTTGTGCCTCTACAATGGAGTTTGAGATTGAGATTCGGGCGCATGCAAGCGCTACTTGAAGACATCGAGGGCTTCCTTGACGAGTCGCGTCGCTTCGCCGACATTGTTGAGCTGCGCGTGCACCGATGCGAGTTGAATGTAGATGCACGACTTGTCGAACAGCGACATTTCAGCGGCCGCGGCCGACAGTTGCTTTTTGGCGCCTTTGGCAGGGCCGCTCGACGCCGTCTTCATGGCAGTTTGCAACACGTTGAGCGCGTCCTTGAGATTCCCTTCGTTCTCGAGGAGCTTGGCCTTGATGATGTGGAACGACGGGGTCTGCCGCACCGAGAAATCGTGGCTCAGCGCAATGTCGAGGCTCGACGAGGCTGCTTTAAAGTGCTCGCGCTCGAGACTCACGCGCGCCTCGAGCAAGTGCGCACCGGCATGCGACGGGTGCATCTTGAGCAGCGACCTGCAAATGCGGAACGCGTCGTCGAATTCGTTGGACGCGAACTTGGCGTTCGCGAGCACAAACTGGATTTCCAAAAAGCCCGGCGACTTGGCGACAATCTTGTCGAGGATCGAAATGCCACGCGCCGCCATGGCCTTGCCGTCGTCGGCGCCGTCCAGTTTGATAAACTCCATCGCAATTTCCACGAGAAAATGCGGGTTGAGGGCCGCCATCGTGTCGTACGTCGAGAGATCGCCCGCCTAATGGCGACAGATCGTCTCTCTATACAATGGACACTGTGTCGGCTACCTGCATGGCCTCTTTGAGCTTGTCCATGTGCAGCTGCGCGGCTTTTTGAAGAAATTTAACTTGTTTTTGCCGGTCCTTGTCCTTGTGCCAGCTCAGCATCGCTTGGAGCATGACAAAGTCGGCGCTCGCGCCCATGGATTCCTGGATGACGCTGAGAAACTCCATCTGCTGCGCGGCGTCGTCGATGAGCCCCATCTTGATTTGGCAGTAGATGAGGCCGTGGAGCGCCGCTTCGTTCGACTCGTCGAGCTTGAGCGCGTCCTTGTACGAGTCGACGGCTTCGGTAAAGTCGCCCATGAGCGCGCGCTGGTACCCGCGCTCCGCATGGTACACGCTATGGATGTGGTGTGTATCGCGCCAGTGACACATGGCAGGGCGTACCCTGTCTCGGGCGAGAGCTTGATGGCTTGCTCGACGAACGCGAGGTTGCACGAGAGGACCTCGTGGTTCTTGTCGGCGATGCGCGCAATGCACTTGGAGATGTCGTAGTACAAGGCCGGGTTGGACGCCTCCGTCGCGCTGAGCGCTTTGACAAGCTCCCGAATGCGTGTCGCTGCCTCTTTTGGCTTGCCTTCGCGCGTCAAGAGGTAGAAGATAAAGAGCCGAAGCGCCTCAATGTCGTCCCTACATCATGTAGTATGATGCTGCGCCTGTGGCGTGATCGAGTGCGTTACGTGCTCATGCTCAGCGCACGCTCGGCGCTGTCGACGCACTGGTCCCACTCGCCCATCTTGAAGAGCACGAGGGCCTTCTCGCTGAGCGCGTGCTTGAGCCACGTGTACTTGACAAAGATCTATGGCATCCGGATTGCAGACAACGTGTCCATACACGAGCGGCAACCTCGTCGTAGCACTCGAGCGCCTTGGCGTGGTTCTTCTTAAAGTCGTGGTACTTGGCGACGCCGAGGAGCTGTTCGGGGTCGTTGGCCCTACTCAGGCAGGTCATGCTGCGAGCTCGTGCATTGGTATCGTCGTACGCCTTGACTTTGGCGTCCTCGAAGAGCTGGATGCTGTTTTCGCGGTACTCGATGTCGCGCTTCGTCTTGGGCTCGGTCGTGAGGTCGACCCAGCCGCGAAGGATCGCCGCCCGGATCTGCAGCGGCGTCTCGGGGCTCAGTCGACCGCCCATGAGGTTTTCGAGGATCTTGCGCGCTTTCGCCGTCTCTTTGATGTGCCAGAACAAGTTGGCGCACTAATCGAGACGCGCGATCAAGTCAAGGGTAAATGGTGCGTGCGTACCAAGAGCTGGCTCGCATCGGTCGCGTTCTCCTCGGCAATGACGACTTGTAGTTCGAGCTGCGCAATCTCGTCGTGGTCGACGTGCTTGCACTTGTTGTGCGTGTAGATGAGCGCGTGCACGCACGGAAGCTCGACCTCCTTCTTGGATTTCAAGCCCTCGAGCTCGCGGATCGCCGACGAGTAGCTGCCCTCCATGATGATGCCAAACGACCGCCAAAACATGATGGTCGGGTCGCTCCCCTTCTTGTCGAGGATGCTCTCACAGAGCCGCTGCACATGGTCGTACCATCCCTTCCGCACGTAGTAGTTGATGAGGACGCGTGGGTCGCCGCTGCTCATGCTTGCGTTTCGATTGCGAGATGATGGATCTTGCAGCGGATCTTCCGCCGAAGCGTCGCAGCTACCGTCTCCACCGTTTCGCCTGTCACAGCCAATGCATGCTTGCCTCGCTGCTCCTCTCCAACCCGACGTCGATCTCGCAGGCTCGTACCGCGCTGCCACCTCCCAGCGCTGCCACCCCTGCTTCCATCTCGGTGCCAGCGACCAGCATCGCAGCCCGCGCGACAAGCTACCTCAAGGCCATTGGTTGAAACGCGACGGCCAACAGCCAATTGCAGGCGCGCCCACTGTCGCTACAAACCCCAAGTGTGCGATGGCCACAGAAGTTGATTGGTCAAAACCGCCGATGGCCATTCACATCGCGTGACTGGTCAAAACGGTCTTGTATTTTAGCCAATCCTAAAATGGTATTTCTATCCGTCGTGCATTAAAATACATATAATTTAATGTTGAATACAAATAGGCAGTGCTGATGTTTTATAAGTGCCTGACTTTTATAATGCCAACCCCTAGGCCTCTTGGCCAGCCATTTCCGGGCCGTGAGATTGCCCTTCCGCAACTCATTTCCTCATCGGTCTCAAACATGCCTTTTGAAAAGCCCGTCATCGTCGACTGCCGCGCGCACATGCTCGGTCGCCTTGCGTCGCTCGTCGCCAAGGAGCTCCTCCTCGGCCAGCACGTCGTCGCTGTCCGCTGCGAGGAACTCAACATCTCGGGCTCGCGTAAGTTCTTATTCCTATATTTGGTGGCAGGTCCGTAGGCGCAGTGACGCTTGGCGTGTGGAGGCCATCGGCCTTGGCAAATGGATGGATAGTCTTATCTTCTGGCATTCGCGCCAAGGACCTTTGATGACAGTGACACATGTTACATGTGGCTGGTGATGGCACCATGCGTGCCCGCTCCCATGCGTCGCCGAAAACATGCTAAAGTCGCTGCGTGCAGGCTTTCCCTCTTTGATGTCATGTCAAATGGATTGCCATGCCGGACCTACACCACATCGACAGCATTTTGCTGATGATGGCGGCTTGTAGACGTGCGCAACAAGGTCAAGTTCCTCCAGTTCTTGAACAAGCGTACGGCCACGAACCCCAAGAAGGGTCCCATCCATTACCGCGCTCCCTCGCGCATGTTCTGGCGCGCTGTCCGTGGCATGTTGCCGCACAAGACCGCCCACGGCGCGTCGGCCCTCCAGCGCCTCAAGGTACGCTCATGCCATGTGATGTCCATGGATCTCATGACAAGATGCTAGGTCTTTGATGGCGTGCCGTCGCCGTACGACAAGGTCAAGCGCATGGTCGTCCCGGATGCCCTCCGCGCCCTTCGCCTGAAGGCCAACCGCCGCTTCACCGTCCTCGGCAAGCTGTCGTCTGAGGTCGGCTGGCGCCACGGCGACCTCGTCGCCCGCCTCGAAGCCAAGCGCAAGATCCGCTCGGAGGCTTACTACAAGAAGAAGCTCGAGCAGAACAAGGCCCTCTCGGCTGCCACGGCCTCGGTCGCTGCCGCCCACAAGGAGCTCAAGCCTACCCTCGAGAAGTTTGGCCTCTCGCTTTAAGCGACTCGTGGGAATGTTTGACGCCATCTTGCTGCTCTGTTAACACAGTAGTAACACGAGGAATGTTTACCGACGCAACTTTGTTATAACGTACGCCTCATCACACGCAGAAGTGGCAGCATCGAGGTACCTGGACCTCTGTTGTAGCAAGAGATAGTAGCCCGAGTCGACAACCCGGCCAAGCCAGCCGTCTACTTGGAGCCGACCATCAATTGTTGGCGAGTCCCCAGAACGCGGGACCTTGAGCGCCGCCGCCGTTTGCAGCCAGCATATGCTGACCAGACAGCGTGCTGGAGCGTTGGCAACCGAAGACGTGTACTCGTACGATGACCTCTCGTCGCGCAAGTGCCCAAGCAGCCGAGACGCCCCGCGACGGCTGCTGTCGCAGCTCTTCTGGTCGCACGATCGATGCCCTCGGCTCCATGGCGCTTTGTACAGTGGGTGCACCGTCCATCTTTGTTTCAAATTACAAGCCATCAAAGGCGCTAAACTTATTGCCATCGTCTTGCGTCGGAGGGTGGCCCGTGTAGCTCGAGTAGAGTTGTTGCTGCTGCGGTGCCGTGTTCCCGTACGGCGTCGACGCATAGTTGTTGTTGCCATACCCAAGCTGCGGCTGGCCGTATCCCGGCGCGGCTGGCGGTGGTGCATTAAACTGGTTGCCGTAGCCGCCCACGTTGGTGTTGTTATAGCTCGGCGCCGCAACCGGCGGCGCGGCCAGCAACGGCGCGCCGTTGAACGCCGAGACGGCCGTGTTTTGGCCATACCCCGGGGTGCCCCCGTACCCACTCGACGGCGCCATCGGTGGCGCTGCAGCAAACGACGACGGTGCGTAGCTCGAGGGTTGGAGACCCGCAAACATGTTGCCGCTCGGTGCCGGCGCCAACGACAGCCCCGCGAGGCCTGCACTCGGCGCATTGCCATACGCCTAGACACACACAACGATCAGGATCAATATGCTGCTATGAGGTGGCGTACCGGCGCGGCCACCGGTGCAATCTCGAGCAAGTCGGACGTCGGCGCGTCGACCGACGCACTCGTACGACGATTCGCCTTCTTGGCCCGCCGCCGCTCGGCGTAGCTTTCGCTCGGAGCATCTTTTGGCGGTGTCGCGGCCGATCGACCGCCGCCATTGAGGATGAACGGGTCGTCGCGACTGCTCGTGCTGCTGCGGTCCGAGTACGTGGACGGCCGAGCGTCCGAGTACGGTGCGGGCTCGGACGGCTTTTGCGCCGACTCTGGCGCCTTGGGGACATACTCGTCTTGGAGCATCGAGTTGACAGCGGCCATGCCCGACGCTTTCTCCTTGTTGCGCTCGACAGCGCGGACCGTCTCGCCAAAGCCCGAGGTCGCCACGCTACAGCAGACATGTTGCGTCGCCACGGATGGTGCGATATCGCAGAGTACCTTTGCGTTTGAAGACCTGACTCGGCCATGAGCGCCTTCTCGCGCTCCGAGATGATCTCCTTGAGCATGGCATTGACGCGTTCGCAGACCATGTCAAACTGCGCGCCGTTGAGGTTCTTCTCCCAGAGCAGCGGCGAGACCGCGGGCAGCACAAGCTTGGCCATGTACTCGGGCCCGAGGTGCTTGCCGAGGTTGTCGTAGCAGCCCAGAATGCACATGCACACGGCGGGCGTCTTGTCTTTTGTGAGACACTCGGCCAGACACGGCATGACGCTCTCGACGAGGAGGTCTTTGTCAAAGACGTGGAACGACTTGGCGAGCCAGAGCAGTGCGTTTACGCGCACCGAGAGCTGGGGCGGGTCCAAAATGAGCCGAATGACGCGCGGGAGGATGATCTGCTTGAGAATCCGGTACTCAAAGAGGCTCGCTTGGTCGACAATCTTGTTGAGGACCTTGTCGAGGATCTCGGGCACGCTCGAGTCGAGTGCGCGGCAGAGCATCGGCACAATGTGATCGCGGATGTAGCCATCTTCGGCCTTGGGGATGAGCGCCTCGAGGTTCTCGACAAACATGAGCATGCACTGGACGGGCTCGGCGATCGTGAGCAGCGGCACCATCATGGGCGCAATGTGCCGCGAGAACGTCGTCTTGTCGACCATCGACACGATCTTGAGAAGCGGCGTGATCACAAACGGCGCGATCGCGGGGTTGATGACAACGCTTTGGAGGCCGGGCAGTACGAGGTCCCGGAGTACTTTGGGCGAAAAGCCCGAGAGGACATCCGGAAGCGCCAAGAGAAATTTGGCCTGCGACGCCGGGTCTTGCTCGACGAGCGTCTGCAGCGTCCGGAGCGTCTTGACGAGCCCCGAGTCAAAGAAGGGCGACGAGAGGAACGCCCGCGCCTCGATACGCGACGTCGGCGACAGCTGCAGCAGCGTCCGAATCGTGTTGTGGAGCGTGACTGGCACGGTCGGGTTGAACGAGATCGGGTGCAGCGACTGCGTCTTATAGCCGTGCGTCATGACCTTCCCTTCTAAATACCCGAGGACCGGCTCGTGGCTGCCATCGGGCTTGGGCGGCGAGAAGAGCTCGAGCACGAGGAGACCGAGCGAGAAGACATCGGCGTGCGCGTCAAACGTGCGCGGCTCGTTCACAAGCTCGGGCGCGCAATACTCGAGCGGCGGCTCGTAGCTCAGAAGCTTCTCGCCCTTCTTGATGGGCTCAGCGTGCCCGGACGCATAGTACTCGCTGCGGGACGTTGTACCTGGCTCGACGATGCGGCTAAAGCCCATGCCGCCAAGCTTCCATTCGCCTTTCGGCGTAATGAAGATCGCGTTGGGCGAGAGGCCGAGGTGGACGCGCCGGCCTTCGCGGTGCAGAAACGAGAGCGACTCGCCAATGTGCATGAGGCCGCAAGCGATCTCAAACTCCGAGAGACCAATCTCGAGCACTTCGGGCGTCACGTTGAGGACGTTCGTAAAGGTCTTGCACGCGTTGGCGAGCGAGCACGTGACGCGCTCGGTCACAAACGAGAGCGTCTTGCGCGACTCGTCAAAGACCTCTTCGATCTTGAGGATCTGCGGGTGGCGCAGCAAGCGGAGCGTCTTCATGTCATGGCGCAGCACGTCGAGCACCCGCTCCTTGTTGTGCACCTTGTCGAGCTCGCGCTTGTCAAAGACAAAGAGGCTCACTTCGGCGCCCGTCTTCTTGGAGACCGCCGGGTAGATCTTCCAGAGGAGCTCGTGGCCGCCGCTGGCCGTGCTGTCGCGGGGGAACTCGTAGTTCTTCTCGTACTCCTCGCCGAGGACGGCCGTCGAGACGACGCCCGAGACCGAGGTTCCGACGTCAAAGGCAGCGGCTTGGACCGCAACCTTCCACCGGTTCAAGACGCCCGACATGGCAAAGAGGAAGTTTGGGAATTGACGGCCAAATCAGGACAATGCTTGCTTCGTTGAGGCTAGACACACACACTTTTCTATAGTAAAATGATATGACGTTTGGCCATGGGAAGCGTAGTGTGGCGTGCGATTAGTCAGAGGTCCAAAGATCAAAACTGGGTACTGCGACAGCGCGCGCGATTATGCTAACGCATGGATGGCGCACGGCGCTGGTGGAGCGTAGAGACAGCGGAGAGCAAGGTGGAGCTTGCATGTTGATGCGAGGCGCCGCGGCGAGCCCAACGAGGGATCGCGCCGGTGCAATTCGGACACGAACATCTGCAATGTCCTAATTAGGATGGACCAATCACAGGCTGCAAGGTCAGATGACCGACCTTGCCCTTCGAAAGTGCACCATCATCCGCAGCGCAGTCCAAGGGAATGTAAAACCTTGAGCGAGTCGGTCATGCTGTCAACTACAATGTTCTTGTGCACAGGCACGGATTGAGATGACAAAATTGTACTACGACGGGCATGAACGCTGCTGTTTTAGCAAGTAACCCCGATGTCGTTCGCGTGAACCTCGTTCGTTCCGCAGCGCTCTTGATCATCGAGTTATACCTTGTAGTTGCGCGAGCTTTTTCGGTGTGGGCGACACACTGAACCGGATGCGTTTCGTTGGGACGTCACCACTTTGGATCGGCGATATGCGCTCTCCCTCGTCGCAAGGGTCCATAAACCTCAACTCGTGGGAGCCAAGAAGCTTATGGGATCCGCCCAGATCATGACCAACATGTCCACGGGTCAGCCGGGCGTTTGAGCTCGATGTCGGGTCTGTTGGCACCTGAGAGACTTTTGAAAGTTAGGTGCTATGCAGGCGGTGGTGAGTGTGGTCGAGCACAGTGGCACAGTGGCAACCGCGAGTCGGCCCCAAATCCGTTTCTTCATCGTTGGGATCGCCGCGGTGGGGTCATGGCGCTTACCGATGCCGTGGGCTTCGGTGCGAAACGAGTGCGTCGGTAAAATGAGGCGCTCAATGTCGCGCGTTGGTGGTATCCTGCAAATCGCGATAATGTACGTCGACGTCAAAGGCGTGTGAATGCCCAACCCAGTTGCACTGCTGTCCCAGCCGTGATTGTTCAAGTCGAGGAAATTCCGGCTCATTGGTGAACGAGTCACTAGCTGCAGGAAGGAAATTGGCTACGGAGCTTTGTTTTGTGTGAATGTGTTTCAAACTCGATTTGCAGTCTGCGGGACGACGCACAACGACGCACACCTTCGATTGTCGAAGAAGTATCCCTGGAACAATATAGTGAGGCCAATGCGAACGATGTGGGGCTTGCCGCGCCTTCACATTCATAACGGCGCCGTCAAAGAGCGTGGCTGTGGCCGACTTCCTAATCATTGATGAAGTCGCCCAACGTAGAGGGACCCACGACTCGGACTCATTTGTTTCGCGTCCCGATCCTCGGTGGTTTTTACGACGAACGGGACAAGCGATTGATCGCAGACGCGTCCGCCCTCCGCTATGTTACGGTCGCTTTGTGCATCATTTGCTTGAGCGTCGGTGTCGTCCAACTGACAAGCGGCTTGACGAATGGCCAAGAAGTGACCAATGTCCTCTCGTCCGCGACTCGCCTTCCCGACTACACCTGCAAAAGCTTGGGGCAATACAGCGGAACGACGTACGGCTGCATGATGGATCCGGCGTTTTACCAAGAAGGCCTGTGCAACCCCGCCCTGCCGCCGGTCAACTGTGCCGGTGGCGTAGTCGCTTGTCCTGCCAACGTGAGCAGCTACTTTTTGGACCCCCCTGCGGCTGACGGGCGCACCGCTTCGTCCACGAGTGGGTGGCAAGTCGTCAAAGCAACATGCACTTTGAGACGTACGAAGACTGCTTGGCCACGCTACCTGTAGTCCTGAACGCAACTGCCGCCATGCCGCCCGTCGTTCCCACTGGCGGGGGGTACGTTCGGTCGATCTACAACGGCAACCTCTCGATCGGCGGTGTGTCAGCGCAGTTCTTCGTCGAGGGTCTCTCGTCGTTTGGGTTTCCACCAAACTCGAGCCTATTCGACATGTACACGAGGTCGTTCTTCGCCCTGCAAGCCATGCCGCCTGCGACCTCCCCGTGGTCGTGCGCAGTCGACGCCTCCAACTACTTTGCCAACGGCAGCGTCATCCCGGGGTCGTCGATCGATATCTTTTTGACCAAGTACATGCCCAAGAACCTTCTCACCCGTACCAAGTCGCCGTATTGCGTGTTTCCAGCGCCAGCACTGCTCTGCAACGCGTACTATGCTCTTGGCCCGCACACGTGCTCCAAAACAACGCAGATTCGCCAAACCTGGACCCAAGTCTTGGGTAGCTCGATCGCGAACGCGTGGGCACTCCTCGGTGCGCTCACGACAGGTGTCGCCTTCGTTATCAAGCGCTGCTGCTCAGCCGCGCAGCCCGTTCCGCAACCAGCCACCGTCTCGATTCAAGACGTCGATATCGAAGTCGGCCCCCAAGCAGTGCGAGGTTCACCAGCGACCAGTGTGGAGGGGCGGGAATAGCCCGTAAAATCTGCACCGGTGCACGCATATTCCACACGAATTCATTCTGCACTTGTGTTAGCGTTGATCAGCAACACAAAGTAGACTTTCCCGCGTCATTCCTCTACAATAAACCTTCTTTTTCTAAAAAAGTTAAACCAATCGAGACACATTCTCAAGCTGTGGACTTGTCATTGACAGTATTTGAGTATGAGCCCCGGACCTCACGACGAGCGCGTGTTCACCGTATTGATCGTTAGCGTCACTGCTACATGAACGAGATCCACTCCCACCAAGATTGCCGTCTATCGATAGGTTTACAAAAGCACTGTCATGGCACAGTCGGCAAAGACAGCTGCCTAGTAGTCCAAAGCCTCTATTCAAACAGTCGGTGTAGCGCTATATCGCTGGGCGGTCACCAGTGAGGTACGATATGGATCCCTTTTATCCAAAATGGAATCCGTTCAGCAAGGAAATGTATCCGACGACGTCCATGTCGAGTGGTGCCGAGCTGCAAGGCAGCTATATTAAACTACACTTCCAGAGCACCGTAGCGATACGATATAGTCCAGGACGCAGTCATTTTGAAGAGGCTGCCGACAGAATCTCAGTGATTGGCGATCGACCGAGTCTATTCACAGCGTCCACACTCGAAACGCTTTGCACATCATATGGTGCTGGAGCCAAGTTGAGTGAGATAGGCGAGAGTACTGCGTACGAACTGCGCACGAATAAAAGTTTGAGAGCTTAGGATACGAAGTGGCTCAGATAACCTCAGATAGAAGCTGCACTCTTGTGCTCTAAAGCCTACGCCTGTGCCTGAGCTCTAAATTGGTCCTGCGACAAAAATGGCACGAGGTTCAAAATGGCGCCCTTCCACGGTTTCGCTTTGAGAAACGACAAGCTGCAAACCATGCAAGGCAAGCTCGTTCTTGAATTTGCCCCGTCCTACGCAAGAGCGACCACTTCCGATCTGCATGCGCTGGCTTTCGCTTGTCGCTGCGGCTGTCGGTCTTTTCCCTACGGTTTACGGTACGTCTTTTCGTCAATTGAGTTTGGCAACTTCGTTCGTTCGTGACACAGGCGCGACATGCTCGTCGTCGAGTACGTGCAACTTGAACGTCAAGTGCTCGCTGCCATTGACGCAGCTCAGCGTCGGTGACGCGACTACGTGCCAACAAGCAAGTACAACTTCGCCTTGCTTGTCCTGCGCCGGTGTTGGCCAGCAGTGCTACAACGCCCCCGAGTGCAAAGGTCGCCTCCATTGCTTGCTCAAACTCAATCTCAACAATTGGTTGCTCGTAGATTCGCTCTTTTACTGCGAGTTTTTGACGGCAGCCCAAGTGGCTGCGCTGCCAGCAGGTCACCCGTGTCTGTCGACGGCGTGTCAACTGAGCAAGCAAAGTCCCGCGTGCATTGCTTCGGTACACCACTCCCATGCGTATGTCGTTTGTTGATGGCGTGTTCTTAGACGTTCCAAGCGTGCTGCGTGCCGGGCACACCGGGCTGCACCCAAACGGTGGCCACTTCGGGCTGCACGCCGAGCGGGTGCAGCTACTTTATGGGGCAGCCGACCATCACGCCCAACTACTCGGCGATCGCGTGTCCATTTGCGGATGCGTCGGCCACGTGTGCGACGCCGCAGTGCAACGCGTCGTCCATCTTTCGCCAGATTGTCAACGTGTTTGCGGCCAACATTGGCTGCTCGGGCAGCTTTTGCATTCCGGCGCTCGTACGAGCTCCTTTTTCACCTCCAAATGACCTCAATTTCCTCTCGATCGTAGATTCCTGGCGTGTGCGCGGCCGGCGTCAGCCTCACGGCGTCGACGACCGCGTCGTTTCCGGGCTGCACCAACTACTTGGTGGACTATTGCAATAAGAACCCTTCCGATGTCGGCTGCCACCAAGTGTGTCCGTACAACTGCAACCTCCAAGCCAACTGCCCGTGCAAGTCGAGTGCGTGCGCGGCCGTCAACGCGGCGCCGCTCTGCGTGCGCAACACTGGCGTCTGCGCCAACTTTCGCAAGCTCTTTGTCAACGCCATGTTTACGCAGCGCTACTTCCAACCCGCGTCCGACAACTTGGCGTACGCCAAGAACCGCGCCGGACCGCCCACGACGCCGTTTCAGTGGTCGGCCAGCCTCACGCAGGCGCGCGTCGACTGCAACGCGCTCGTCACTGACCTCGGCGACAACATTGCGTCGTGCGTCACCACGTCGTTTGCCTACTGCAACGCCAATCCGTGGGACCCGGTGCGCTGCGTCATCCATATATGGATAGTTCGTTGAACGTTCCTCGGTGCTGTAGGCCTGCAAGAGTGATCTGAGCGTCTGCGGTGACGGTATTGTGTCGTGGCTTGAAACGTGCGACGAAGGACCGAACGTGACGGCGACCGGCGGCTGCACGGCGTGCAAGACGAATCTCAACTGGGAGTGCTACGCGCAAGGCACGCCGTGCAAGCGCTGCCTGCACCAGACGGGCTACGTGCTCGACATGCCCAACCCGGGCGTGTGTCCCTTCTGCGCCAACCTCCAGACCGGCAATACGTGGCCCTGCGCCACGACGACGCCGTGTGCGGTGACGACGACGCTGCCGCAGAAGATCGCGTGCGACAACTATGTGCAAAAGTACTGCAATGGCATCCAAAGCAACTCGAGTACGACAACGTTT